CCCGGGTTCGGCTCGGTGTTATTTCGGTGCCGACGCTCGCGAAGAGTGGGCCGGGCTATTTATAGTGAGCGGCGCCCCCGACAGCGCGGCTCCCCCGCGCCGCCCCCCGCACGCAGCCCAGAGAGGAGGCAGGAGAGGGCACAGCTCGGGTCATTTACTGCAGAGACTCGCCGAAGACCCCGCACCCCCCAGCCCCAGGCAGAGGGGGCTGGCGGCAGGCGCTGGGTGCAGCAGGTGCCCGCACCAAGAAGAGGGTCCCAGGACTCCTGGGGGATGCGCCAGCCCGTTTTCCAGGCAGTGGTCTGGGAACGCCGTGATCAGAGGGTGCTGCTGCCTCTCAGTCCCACGCCCCGCACGAACTGCTCGAGGAGGCCACCGATGGCCCCTGAGGGGCTGGGGGGCACGGCCTTTAGGCCGATGGTCCGGCTGTAGCTTGCCAGAAAGGCAGAACGCACTTCCTCCAGACGGGACTCACGGTCACTCGCTGACACCAGTCTAGGAGAGAGAAAGGGAGGTCAGTGACTGCAGCCATCCCTCTCCACACCCCAGATCTCACTCCTAAAACAGGTCCTGTGGTGCTCAACAGGCTGCAGTGGATAAGGCAGTGCAAGCCCCAAAAGGCTGTCCACAGAGCTGGTGGCAGCTGGTGCCACTGCCTCCTCATCCAACCCAACCCACGGAGCCACTTGCAGCCTCAGTCTCCTGCTCTCCACAGGGTTTCCTTCTTCATACATCCATCCCACTGTCCCCCATTTCTCCCACCACTGTGCTGCTCATAAGGCTGCAGTTCATAAACAAAGTGGTGCTTTGGCCAAGTGGGTGCTGACATCGGTCCCTGTGCCAGCTCCCTCCCCTCCTCACACAGATGATGCCTGTCCACATGTGCTGTGCCCAGACAGCTGCTTCCAACCTATTTGCAACCATCCCTCACTTCCACCAGACCCAGCCTCGTGTGTTTGTGCCAGCACAGACAGCTCTGTGGAAGGGGGGATGAGAGGGAGCAGACAAGGTGACAAAAGCCCCAAGGAACACTCCAGCCACAGGAAGAAGAGAGCTGAGCAGCGCTTTACTTCTGCTCCCCAGCATGGCTGTTCTCAGCAAACAGGAGCAGAGTAGGCCATGACGTCCCATGGGACCTGCTCTCCTCTCCTGCTGATCCACGCACCTGGTTAGGGGCAGAGGGAAAACAGCAGAAGGAAGGCGAGACTTTGGCTGAGGTAGCAAGGGGAAAGCAGAACTGGGGCCCAGAGGCAGCTGTTCCAAGCTCTCCAGCCTAAAATGATCCTAGCTGTGGTGCCTCTGTGACATGCCAGTGGTTCCCAGAGAGATTAAGACATTCCTCAAAGGTCACTCCAAGGGCACAGTGCAAACCTTCCCCATAAAAAATTCTCTTTAATCTTCCAGCGCCTGGGCTGGCTATAAATTGGCACAGCTCATCTGAATGGAAGTGTTAACCACCCACAGCCAACAGCTTCGGTCCGGAAACAGCAGCAAGAGGATATGGTGGGAGGCCTATAAACAGCAAGCGATGCCGAGGCAGCCAACCAGGCCGCTGTTTACTGTGTCTGATAATAAAGAGAAGCCAGAGGGCAAAAAAAGGCAACAACATATCTAAACACATTAGTGATGCTTTTTGGCAACCTAATTAGGACATGGAACTCGCAAACCTGCTAGAATTTAAAATAAACTCCATGAAAGCAGGACTTACTTGCACCCGAGTTCAGCGATCTCAGATGTCACGCGCAGAGGTAAGCGAGGGCGTGCAGCAGTTAGGTCCCATGTCTTGTGGCTCTCACACCTCTTTACAGGGCAGATTTTGTATTTGGGTTTTTCAGTTTGCTTCATGGAGTGAGACACTCCAAGGCACAGGGTCAAGCAGCCAGCCACTGCTCCACACCAAGCCCTGCAGACTGGCTGCAGAATTTCACCCTGAACTGCTCACCGCGGAGGCAGGTCGTGCTTCCTTGCCAAATCCACAGCACTCTGCCCCGCTACACTTCCTACAGCCTGCCCGCTTGCCTGCAGCTTGGGGTGCGGGATGAGAGGAGGCTGTCAAAGCCCCAGCTCGAAGTAAGCCCTGACAAGCCCCACACAAGCACAAGAAGTAGGCTGTGAAAAGCATACCTTCATCGAGCTGCTGCCAGTGAAGATGCAAAGTGGGAACGTAAATGGAATTAAAAGAAAAAAAAAATCATACTGTGTCGGGCTGCAAAAACTGGGATAAAACCACAATGGAGTCCTGAGCAAACAGGGCTGATGCAGAGCAGAGAGAGGGTGGAGGCTCTGGGTTAAGCTCAACACAACACCGCTGGGAACTCTTCATCCTTTTAATGCAGTGCCTGGTCCCAGCACCTTCAGTTGTGCATTCCCCAGCCCTCAAGCAACACAGCTTTAGTGAATAGCTGAACAGGGCAGAGCACCCACAGGAGAAGCACCATCACTGTTCTCTTCTTTTTGAATCCACTGCCCCAAGCAGTCACTCTCCAAATGGCATAAGCCTATCGACTTCGATTCATGTTTCTCTACTGAATTCCCTATTCTGACACTGGATCCAACTCCAAGGGCAGCAACAACTTGCTGGTGATCAGCAGTGACCAAGCACAGCCAGGCTCAGGACACAGTAAAGCAGTCATTATTCCGATGCCCATCCTTCATCCCTTCTCCCTTGCCCATCTCCAAACTACTGCAGGAGCAGCTCAGTGTGACCTCAGGAAAGGAGAAGAACAAATCCTGGCCAGGCCATGTCCGACATCTCTTGCAGTGTTTTGATCTGTCAATTCATGGATCTTGTAGCTTCAACGTAACTTGAAGGCAGCTGCTCTGCTCTGTTCAGCAGCACAGCATGCACCCACACGAGATAAAGAGCCAGGGCAGGCAGCCTGTCTCACAGGACACACAGGTTTTCATGTTGTTTGCCCTCTGCCTCCAAAGCACGTACTCAGATCCCAGTAAGGGACCAAGCATCTGGCAGCAGCAGCCCTGATCTGCCATTTCAGTTTCTTGATGGCGAGTTTGCAGCCTGAAGGCACAAACCAAGGTTCTCCTCTAACAGCAATTAAAGCACATCTCCAGTCTTTCAAGCTTCCAGAGGTGGATTTCTATTTGGGGAGGAACATTTGCCTCCCAGCCATTTCACATGGCAGGATGTGACAGGACACAAGGTTTCTGTGGCTCTACACTGGCCAGGCACAGCACCTACAAATGATGCTGCACAAGGCCAGACAAAATTTGGGTTACAGAAGGAAAATCCTTCTCTTACTCCAGCAAGGATCTGACCCCAGTGGGGAGATGAAGATGAGCAAAATCAAAAAGCAAGAAAACTGGGTTACCAGTCCTGTCCTAACAAACATGAATCCTCAACTGCACTCAATCATGCTCAAATTCAGCATTTTTGAGGAAGAGAGGAAAACCTCTTCTTCCTACAGAAAGTAAAGAGCTCCCCATCATTAGGCGGAGAAAGTGCCATTTTCTTTCCACGTTCACCATAAGCAAAGAATGCTCAGGGGCTGAGTTTGTGGATAGAAAACATCAAGGCAGAGAAGATGGAACAGTTTGTTATAGGCTCCCAGGCTTCTCCAAAAATGCCAGAGTGATAAAGTTGCAGTGCTTGCAGGCAGCCAAGAGAGAGACCCAAGGAGAGATCCTGCATTTGAGACACTTACAGGCAAGTGCTAGAGAACTCATCCGGGAAGCTGCAAGGGAGAGAGGCGTCTGCGCTCAGGATTGCCTGCTCCCGAATACTGCCACACCCTGTCACCATCTGCCAGCTGCCAAAGTCTGTGGAAACGGAAGATCCGGGCAGAGAATGGTCCGCCGATCTGGGGCAGAGAGAGAGGGAGACGGTGCGATCAGTCAGATCATTCAGCACACGCTTTCTGCTGGCGCTACTGCCAGGGACCTGCCGGGCTGACGGCCAGCAGTGCCTGTGCCAGCACTGTTGACACTCAGGGACCAGGGTGCAACATGCAGCTCGGGCTGGGCTCCAGACCAAGTCTTTCCTTTGAAAGTGAAGGGAGAGCCAAGCTGTCTGAGGCCAACAAAGCAGCAGGAGCACACCAGGAGCTGGACAGGAGAGAGCCAGCATGAAGCAGATGGCCATGCAGAACTGAGAAACCCATTAGTGAGATGGAACAGCATATCCTGCCCTGAATCCTTCACTGATGTGAAAGCTGTGCTGTACAAGGGACATTCCCCTGTTGCTTGTTGTAGCTGTTAGCACATCACAGGGCAGCAGGGCAAGTCAAGGCTGTGACTTGGTTAGTGCTGGGAAAGACTTACAGATCATTGTCCTGGCAGCAGTTAGAAAGCAGATCACTCCTGAGCCATTACCACCAGATCTGAACAGAGCCAACGCTCAAGATGTACCCAGGACACCTACCCCCAGCACCTGAACATCTCTTAATTTCTCTGGTAAAGAAAGGGCTGTGCCAGAAATGAGGTGACAAAACATCTTTAGGACAGGCTAAATAGCCAAGGAAGGAAAATTGTTTGATGTACGCAATCTCCCACCAGGAAAGAAAGAAGCATGAAACATGGTAAGTGAACCTGAGGAGTCCCTCCAAAATCTCAGAGAAGAGGGCACAATCACTTGAGACAAACCCAGAGCTCTTGGCTTCCAAGGGAGCAAGCAATTATTAAGCCTTGCTGCACAGCAGAGTCTACATAGCTGGAAGCACAGCCTGTGGCAGAGCTGCTCAATTACACACTACCAAGATCTGGATAATTTATCTGAGTTCTGCTGGGCAGAGAGCAATGCTTCAGCTCCAGCTCTGCTGGGCCAGGTACTTGCACGCTGTCTTCACAGCTAAGAATAGCAGTGGCGCACTGCAGCTGCTCCCCAAGGGACCAAGAGAACAGCCAGAAAGACAGGCTCTCCCACAGCAAGAAGGACCTCAGCTAGACTGGAAGGCAAGGGTGGGAAGAGATGCACAGCAGGAAACCTATTTGCAATCTCAATCTAATTCCAGGCCTGCCATTTAATTAGTCTGATCGATACAGTCAAGTTTGAGCAGCGTGAAATGTGGTCCTGAGCTGGCTGTGCAAAAAGGGAGTCACACAACTCCCTGTATATCAGCTTCCCATCACAGCTACAGTTTGGGGGTAATATTCAGGCTCTGAAAGGACATGACAGCAGAAATCAGGAAGAGCAGAGCTTCACTGTCTCACACAGATCTTGCTCTTTGGCTGCTTAATGAACTGAGGAGTAAGGGTCAGAATATTGGGAGAACCCTCTCTTGCAAAACACTGCTTTTCCTGGGGTATGTAATGCCAAAGTAAGAATTAGGGCACTTCAATGAAAGCAAAAGCAAAGCATATACTGTTAGAGAGATCTCCAGGAGATCAGACAGGGATAACCTTCCAGGGAATTTGTAAGGGAAGGGGAGCAGCTGTTCAGTGACATCTCCTCTCCACGACTTTGGAAGATAAAGTAGAGGGAGTCAGTGTGAAGGAGAGCAGGCAGAGTGTTTGGGCCCACAGCACAGTGCCATGATGGAAGCACAGTGGGAATAGTGCAGGATGCCAGGGAGAAGCATGGAGGAATGCTGCTTCAGTGCAGAGTGAAGAAGAAGATGTCACCTCCCTGAGGGCACAGCACAGCCAGACAGGAAAAACAAGAGTGTCACACATGGTGACAAGAAACTGAGCTAAAGGAGTAAAGAGATCTGTAGGCAATAGGCTTGGGCTGAAAGTAGGCAGAGACAGGATTCTGCCAGAAAAAGTAATGAGTTGCTGAACAGAGGACAGGTTTGTGCCCTTGGAGAGGGCAAGCATGAATGGCAGAGGAGGGGTTAGACTATAGCAGGATCTCCAGGTTAAGAGTTCTGAGAGCAGAGTTCTGCAGCTCTTGCAAAGTGAGAGTAGTATCTGAAACCTGCTCAGGAGACTGCCCACATGGCAAGGCATGATCCAGGGCACCAAGGACAGCAAAAATGTCCCTCTGCCCAATATCATCAACCACACTAATCAGATAAGTCTGTGCTAAAGAAGGTGAACATAAAACTGTTTTTTGCTTTGGGTGTGTGGCCTTGGCTTCCAGCTGCTGGTCACCTTCCATGGCTGTCAGCTAAGATTAGACTGATCTTACACCACCTCTTGGAGGCAGATCAAGTCATCTCTTGAATTCTGTCATGGACAGGCTGATAACAGCACTGTGTATTTCCTGCAAGACTGACTTGGTGACTCTCTAGTCCTTCAGCCCTTCCTGGGGTCCCCAACCCTGTCAAGCAGCTGTGCAAACTTAGTAAGATTTCATCTAATGAACAACACAGGGGTCTAGGAGTTCAAGGCAGTCAATTCTGTGTCTTGCCTCCAGGCATCAGAACACTTGTTGATTAATTGAATAAACTGATTGACTCTGCAGTAAGTCTAGGTAATTTCGTTCCTGGCCCAAAGATGTGAGCCTAGTCAGTAGAGCTAAGATATTGTGGCAGACCTTCCCCTGTATCCCCAAGGCCTTCTCAAGGGAGGGTCCTGAGGAAATGCCACAATCAATAAGTATCTTGAACAGCCTCAAGAGACAGCAGGGGCCAAGCCTGGGAAGACACAGCATGGGAAATTTTGTGTTCACACTGCAATGGCAGCAGAGCTTCTTAAAAGTTGAGCTTGGCTTGAGACCAAGACTAGATGTCTGGGGTGACTGCAACCCAATGCAATCCAGTCAGTGCTAGAGGTGAAAGTCTTCCTGTAATTTCTACCCTGAATACTTCTTGTAAAGTCTTATTGCAGAGGCCGCAAAAGAGCTTCAGTGAGGCCCTTGTAATGAGCTGGAACTGCTGGGACACCAGAACAAGTTCCCAAGTCTGTAAGAACAGCATGCCTGCAGTATATGACAGCTATGCCAGAGGCTGGCTAGGAGTGAGGGCAGCCCCGAGTCTTGGGAAGCAGCCGGACAGCCGGGAAGCTGACATGGTTAGAGGAGATGAGATACAGCCAGTCTTCAAGTCGCTGTCTCTGCCACAGACATCTAATGGCAGACAGAAAAAGAATCCAAGTGAGCTTCACACACCCACCTCTTCGGGTCCACGAGTGGGAAGAAACTCCCTCAAAAGTGCAAGATTAACTAAATTAGATTAGCAAAACAGAGATGAGCTGCAAGCTGTTCCTTCACACAAGAAGGGACCTCTTGCAGCCCATAAACTGGCAGCTCCTAACCTGGAATGGTTTCTTTTAATTAGGTCAATGCTTCTCATGCAACATGCTGTACAAGACAGAATATTTCAGAGCACATGGACACTCACTTGCCTGCCAGAGAAGAGTCAATACTGGAGGCAGAGCAACAGTCAGGGATCCTTCCCTTTCTTAATACGTAACTGAGATGAGTGCCAAGTGCCAACAGCTAGGCTCCCATCCTGCCCCGTGCTGCCCCCGCTCACCTGACGTATTTCCACACACCTAGAACTATTTGGGAAGCAGCTCATTTGCCAGCATATGCTCTTGCCTCATACCAAAGCATTAAGTAGGTTCTGTACGTACAGACAGACTGGTGGCAACCTGGAGTAAAGGGCAGCCCTTCCCACCTTTGCGTGGGAAATGTTGGCAAGGAGTATGGCACCCTGCCAAGAACAGTGAGCCCTGGCTGAATCCCAGACAGTTATCTACGGGCTGGGAAAGTGCCCGAGCAGCCCGTTCTCTGCGAGCACCATTTCTGATTGCAGCACACAGTCATGTGCCAGCCAGCAAGCCCATTTTGTGGCATGGTCGTGCAATAATTACAGAAAACAATTCCTGTAAACAATTCCTCTCCTGCTGTGGTTACTACCCCAAGCTGTCACGTTGCACATACACCTTCTGAGCGAGAAGGAACAAGACACAGTGCACACACAGTCTTTTCACTAACAACAAAACACCCAAAGCAATGGGGCAGCAGCTTCTCTGTCCCACTCTGCTCTCACTGTGCTACCTCCTGACCCACAGTTGAGCCATCTGTGACCGCTGGTCAAAGCAGATCCTCTGCAATTTAACTCCTCCAGATCTCAACTCTCTAGATCACAGTACTCTGGGTTTTGCTTAATTGACTTAGCAAAAGCACATTCAACCAAAGATTATCCAGCTGCTAATCCACATTAGTGCTATGCAGACACACGCTAAATCCCTGACACAGACACAGAATTTTTTTGCAGTGTCATGGGATGCTTAAGACTGGTAGTGTCAAATGCAAATACAGGAAAAGGTTTGCAAACTGCAACCCCGTCACGTGTAAGGGGTTCAATTTGAGGCACAGTGCCATATTCAGAGCTCTCTGTAGAACAAGCAGCACCTTGTCCTACTCTGCAAATAGTCTATGCAATATCCTCCTGTGTGTTTGTCCTCCGCAGATGTGATCTTACCATCATATTGGAATAAGCTAGAAAGACTGACAGAAATTGCCTTTGTAGTGTTTTGCCTAACAAGAACTATTCTGGGATTTACAGGTACCCAGGACCCCTGGATCAGAGCAAGATTCACAAGATGGGCTGGTAATGTAACAGCAGCAGCCTGTTGACATTGCCTGGCCAGGAGAGGGGCTTGGCTTCTAATGTCTGACTGGGCATTTGTGACCCCTTCTTTTAGGACAGCCCAGTTCTCCCCTCCCAGGCCCAGTCCTTGCCTTTCTGCTCTCTCCAGAGCTCCCCTGCATACCAGCACCTGGACTGGGCTGTTGGCCTGAACTACCTGAAGGATACCTGCTGGCATTTTACAAGCAACCATTTTAACCACTGCAGCAGCAGTTGAGGAAAGTGTTTTGTTGCTATGGCCACATGAACAGAGGACTGGAAAGTACAGTGGTTTCTTCATCTCAAGAGCCTTGGGTGTTAACCTGCCAGAATCACTGCAGGAATAAAGGTATTTCTGGCATCCTGATCAGTCTCTGTGCTCCTGCTTTTCCATCTCAGTACAATTTTTCAGGAGGCAAAGAGACAGAATTTACCTCCTCCTTCCATCACAGTCCTCCACCAAAATGGGACTCATTGTTTCCTTCAGGGTAGAAAATGGTGGCTGAAGGTACTGTGTTATCTACCAGACCAATTCAGACTACCACAGTTGAAGCAGGGAGACCAAAGGCCAAGTGGAATGACAGAACTTCTTCCAGGAGAAAACATACCATGCATAGAACCCAGAAACTGCAACCCATGACAGTGTCTGATAAGGCAACCCTAACCCTCACTGTGGTGCTCTTCTGCCTACACTCCTGTTTCTCCTCTTTGCTCTTGCAGGGCAGTCTGGCTGAAGCATTACAAGCTGCTTCTTCCTGAGCACTGCTGCAAGGTTGCTACCAGCAAGCACTGAACAGCCTGTCAGGCCTTGGGAATGGCACAGGACCACACACAGGAATTGTGGCACTACCACTGTGAACAAAGCAGCTCCCAAGACAAGCTGTTTTCTTTCCAGTATTTTCTTTTCTTCTTGGGAGATTCTTTTCATCTTACAGAAAATTCAGAGGTGGGCCCCAGCAACAATTCAAACCCCTCCTATTGATGTCTTTCCCTGGGGAGAACAGTTAGCATCATTTATGAAAACTGTCAGACACTGGGATTTTTCTCTGGAATTGAGAGACACTTGTTAAGAAAGTCTTATAAATTTTCAATGCTTTACTTGTTTGTTATTTTATTTTCCATATGATGAGAGAGTACTCAGATTTGGCTGGTGGCTGACTCAGAATCACTAGAAAAAGACTCATCAGAAAACCTGCAGAGGCTACACAAGCATTTGACACTGTTAATAGCAACCTCTTATCTCAGAGTCTCTTTATTCCATGTTGGCCTAAACACATGGTGTTCGCTCCACAGGCTCTGTTCTTTCTTCCCTAGGCCAGCTCAGTGCTAGACTCTACCCTATCGCTGCGTCAGACTCCAGAAGGGTGCCTTTGTTATGGTGTGAGATTAGGCTCAGGTCCAGGGTCCCCATTCCCCAGCAGGAACACACAGCCTTCTCGGCAGAATCCTTTGTGCTGGCACGGTGCTTGCAGCTTGCCCCCAGCAGATTCCTACCTCTGTTTGCCACCAGCACCCAGTTTTTTCCAACCTGTGTTATCAGGAGGGTCATCAGGTGAAAAGGGGGACAGGATAGATGCAGAGTGAGGTCTGCTTGGTTTGAAAAGCTTCCTTCCCCAAACACCACAGCCATTTCAAACCCTGCTGGATGCGTTAGACAGAGAAAGTGCTGTGAGCTGTAAGCATGCAGGATGCAGAGATACCAGAGCTCAGAGTTGAGGCATGCGCTGAGGACAGGCATAAGACAGCTGGCTGTTATCAGCACAGTTCCTTGCTCCTCTAGGGGCTCAGGCAGCAGAGTCTGTGTTTAATGGCCAGCACTTCAGACAAGGTCAGACTAGAGCAGAACAGGCCTCCCAAGGTTTGTTCGTAGATACAAGCACAGGTGCTCCAGTGCTTCCAAAGCCACGCAAGTGCAGCCCTGCACTCCCTTTACCAGACACTCATTTTGCTGAGAAATGCCCTGCTCTGTCCCATCTCACCTGGATCTGGGCACTTCTAGTGGGCTGCTTCCAATCCTCAGGAAGTTATCAGAATGGGTTGATGAGGAGGAACTGGAGGACTTGACTTCAACCATCCCTGTGTAAGGCAGCCTGTCTTCAGACTGCTGTGCTCTGCTCCAGAGCACGGCTTGTGGTGACGATGCACAGCTCTTCCTCCTGAGGGGTAAAGGACGTGGGTGAGAAAGCTGACTTTTCTGTGTACTCCAACTAGGCAGCCTTTCCACCACAGCCTGGAGTTTAGCCCAGCAGCTACAAGCTCTTGTTTCCACTGAACCCGCCCTCCTCCCTCCCTCCCAAGGAACCATGAGTCATGGGTAAACGCTCAGGGAGGGGGTACACTGAGCTCAACCCATCTTAGCCCATTCTTTTATAGATCACCATCCACGTGACCTGGAAATCAGAGACGGGAGAATGCATCAGCCCACACACACACAGCGATTGCTTTGTTTAGTCTAGCAGCAAAAATGCCTTGAGCAAGGGGCCTCCCAGCGGGGAAAGACCATTTCAATCTGCTCCAACTCCAGAGCGCTTATCAGCCCAGGTGGGCGTTTGTGCGCACCGAGGGCGACGGAGACACACCACTAGTGTTATTTTCCCTTTTAGCAATTCCCTTTGGGCACCACTGACCACACTTCTGACCATGTGCTTATAGCTGACAGCCACTCTTGGTGTAGGTACACTTCAGTTCTCTCTCTATCTATGCTGACAGCCCAAACTGCTCTGGCTTCTTTCCTAGCTAGCACATTCAGACTCAGTCATGATTCACTGTCCATTGCTGCATCAGGCCTTAGCTCATGGTACCATCGAACTACATGCCAAACAAGTATGCATTTGGGACTAATTCACATCACTGCTGCTCCATGTTCAGAAGATTTTCCTTCTTATGTCAGTTGTTTGGTTTTGTTTTTCCCCTGGAAGAGTCCCAAGAATTTCTCCCCTTCTGAAACCACACTGAATTGGACAAAGACCTCCCTACGTATAAAAGTAAAAAAGAAAAATTATGAAGCAAACAAACTCACGGGGAAAAGATGTTATTCCTCCTAAAACATGGAAAAGCATCTCATCTTTGAGATCTCAAGCACTGTCAGCAAGTGCAGCTAAAGACAGGCTCATTGTATAGTGCGATATCCTCTCTTCATTTCTTGAAGGGTGTCCACCCTCAAACATCACACCACAGCCTCTCTTAAGCTTTATTCATCTCATGTTATCATAGCTGCCAACATCTCCAAGTACAGCCTGCAGAAACAGGTCTGAATAGCTAAAAATCAAATGCCTCTCCCTGCACAGAGACTGTGAGGTCACCTGTTTTCAGGGCTGCACAACAAAGTACATCCTCTCATGCTATGCACAGCCCAGCTCAGATAGCTTGTAGCAAGTCCTATGTATTCTCCAGACTACAGAGCCACAACAGCCTGCAGTAAAACATCCGTGACCAGTCTCCTCACTGAGCACTCATGGCAAGGCTCACAACCTTCCCCTTTCCCAAGCTCATGTCCCACAGCATGGCCCAAACCATCCCTGTGGAGCAGCTGCTAGCCCCAGCACAGCCTGTTGTCTCCCACAGAAACAAAAGCAACCCAGAGCTTGGAAACACACTGCAAAATCAAGCCCTGATCCACACAAGTGCAGCTATCTTCTCCAGCATGCTCTGGTCATTTCACATCTTGTAAAAAGCACACATAGGTTCTGTGCAGCAGTCTGTGTGTCCTGAGCACTCAGAGCAACATAAATGCTTCAGTTTTACTACCCTGCAGCCCTGCAAGTGAGAAGTTGTTCTCTATTTGATGCAGTTGCTTTGATGTGGATAGGTAGGCTCTGTATGTTAGAGGACTCTGTGTTGCTCAATTGGCTAAGAGTTTGGGACTCTCCATCTCCATTTTGTGATTCTGCAGGGATATTCTCCTTTCCCTTCTCAGCACTTTAAATTGAATATACAATGTGCTTTAGAAAGGCTGCTGCCACTAGCATGGCTGCAAGCTCCGTCCCAGAGGATTTAAAATGCCTCCAGCACAACCCAGATTTAATTTAAAATAATTGCAATATAAAATAGCTTCTTCATATGTGCTGAGGGAGAGGAGAGAAAAATTAAACTGAGAGGGGCAACTCTACTGCAAGACTCTGAAATCCCCAAACAGCACCAGAAACTCCACAAGTAAGTCCAACACCTGTCCCAGAGCAGCGGAGTTGCCAGACACCTTCCTCACTTCCAGACAGCCACCTGCATCCCCAGGCAAGTCCTGTGTGACCCTCTACTAAGAGGCAGTACTGAAAACTCTGTACTCTCCCCTGGAAATGTCTCCGAGCAGTGCTGCAGGCAGAAACCTGCTTTCAGTTCACATGCCTCATGCTGGTAGAGGGCCTAAAATTTACAGGGAATTCTTGGCCACCCAGCCCAACTCCCACTAACTGCAGACACTCTCCGTGTATAGTGCCTTTCCTGAACTCTGATTAAGCTTCATTTTAGGGCAGCTAAACCATCTCCACTTTTCCCTGGGGAGGCTGCTGCCAAATGTAATTTTTCTGGTAGCTTGGAACTATCTTTTAAAAGTAATGAAATCCTTTGTGGATGAAGTTTAACAGTGAAACTGGTGAAAATGAAACAAATGTGCTTTACTCTCATCTATGAACAAACTTAAGAGCATCCCTGCAGAAGCCTGACAGCCTTTTCACAGGGGGTGGCCTCAAATTTTTGGTGCAGAAGCTCTGGAGTACAAGCTGCAGCAAAGCTTCTGACAGCCAAATTCCTCCCCCCACTGTAAGGAATCCATGCTACAGAGAGCAGAGCTGGAGGGCAAGACACTTCAGAAATATTTTTTCTATCAGACCCAGAGCCAGCCCCTTTTGTTCAGCCCACTAAGTGGTTATCTCCTCACCATGCTGCTTGAGCCTGTGCTCCTGCTGGCATCAGCTCCACTGCTTCATAGGTAAAGCTCCCAGCTGCTCCAGGGGAACTTTCCATACCCAGGGAAAAGTCACTGCTCAGGCTTGTGGTACTGCCTCGGTCTTTCTGCTCTAGAGAGAAGAAAACAGAGCTACCTGAAGACCAGCTCGATTTTCTTTCTCTCCCTTTAAGAAATACACTTCCCTGTGCCCTGGGCTCTTGCAAGGCCCCACAGGCAGCACATCCATTTGGGGGTCATCCTGAAGCTGGGAACCCTAGCTCACAAGCAATGAACCATTAGCAGCACCCAGGGGCACTGATGCTTGACAGCAGCACTCACTGAGCATGCAGATCTCTTCCAGGGTGAAGCCAGGTGGCAAACTCTTCCTTCTGGGGAAGGAAAGACAAAGTTACCTCAGGCACACTTCAAGGCAGTGTGGAGGCTGGCCATAGCCAGGTCCCTGTAACACACAGCAGATCAGAGTAGTGGGGAATTAACTATGCACAGGCAGAGGGGAGAGGATGGGCCAGTGTGCACATCCTAATAATCCCAACCCAAACTCCCTGTGCTTTGAGAAGGTGGTAACAGCCAACACTGCACATGATGTGCTTATTCAGGGCATCTAGGGTGGGCTTTGCTTCTTTCTGTCCCTCCTGAAATAAGAAGGGTTTATACTGGGCAGTCCATTAAAAACCAGCCACCCCTCTGTCCCCACCAGTGCCTGATGGAGCTTGCTGTGCAGCCTGCTTGAGCCAGGGCACACATCTCTGGGTTCATCCGTGCTAAAGCAGCCACGGACAGTTGTTAAGCAGAGAGCACATTTCAGCATGGACAGTTTTTCAGAGCACAACGTAGCACCTCACAAGCCTCGGCCCCGTTTTGCAGCCTTCAGAGTGCAGAATAAATTAAAGAAAACTGGGCCAGGACACCAGGGCTTCCATCTCCCCAAAGAAGCAGCACTAACAAGCTCCCTGGCTCTGTAGCCCATGCAGCAGCAAGCACAGGCTCCTTACCTCTGTGACTTCAGAGCAGAGAACTCCTCAGAGGTGATGTGCTTCAGAAAATTGAAGCAGAAAAAGAAAATCTGAGCAAAGGGAAAGAGAAGAGCGGTTCAGGAATGAACCCGAGGCTCCATGCAGCCTCTTATCTTGGTGAAGAGGTGCTGGCAGGAAGGAGATAACAAAAAATCTGCAGCTACCAGCCTCCAGTGTGCCATGGGCTGCCACCATCCCATCCTGGGCCTTCTCTTCCATATAAACTTCCCCCCTGCTCCCTACCAAGGGGAGGCCCAGAAAGGAAGGGGAAAGAGAAGTCTCCTTTTCATGTACACACACTGCAAGCCCACAGCAGGTACTTATGCCATTGGTGCAGAATGGAACAGAGATGGCAGCAGCTGCTTATACACCCAGGTAAGCAGCAAACCCAGCAGGACTTGCACGGTTAGAGCCACATGCTCCACCTCAGCAGCAGACCAGTACCACATCTGGAAGCATGAGGTATCTACATTTTGTGGCCCCAAAATTGTGCCCTGCCACACCCCAGTCTGCTCTGCATCATTCACCCCACTGTGCTTCTGCCACCTCACCCACCCTATGCAGAGCTGTGCCCTTCTCCTAAGAGAAGTGGGGAGCAGGGAGTGCCAGAGGCAGCCAGGCACACCTTCTCCTGCTGCAGCTACTTACTCCACCCATGACCAAGCAAGCACCAGAGCAAAGCTCTCAGGCTTGAGCCAGTACAACTCCAGGAAAGGTATGAATAGGAGGAATGACACTAAATCTTTCAGGGGATTCTGTTCCCCTGAAAGATGAAAAATAGGCCAGGGTCCTGTCTCTGCTGTTTGAAGGCAGAAGATTCCTTAGTAAGGTGAGAGTTTGAGGAGTAGGGGAATAGCAACAGGGTAAGCAACACACCCCACCTCTTTTCTATTCAGAAATTATACTGCACTATACTGCAACTATAGTCAGAGCAATCTTTTGCTGTTGAACAGTGAAAGATTTTGAAGATACTTCAAAATTACTTCCACTAATTTTAAGTGCATCCCAGACCCATATGTGCACCCAAAAGCACATCCCACCAAGTTCACACACTGGAACCAGCACAAGCTGCTCCATGAGCCTGTGTTCACATGCAAGCCACATGCAGCTGCAGCACCCAGGCAGGAGGGCTGGCACTCAGGACAAGCACACAAGACTATCCAGCTTTATTTTCAAGGAGTTACACACCTTAAGCATCCTTTTCACTGCTGAGCTGAACAGCAAGTCCTAGCACCCTTTGATGTGGGGTCTGAACACTAATGGCACAGGAGTGAAACTGGCAGGAGTGACACCCCCCCAACAAAACTGCAGCCTGAGAGAGAAGTAACTCCACAACTTATGCATCACAAAGTGACAGGGCAAGGCTCTTACCTCGTACTTCCAGCACCTGAACAATCTTTTTAGAGCCCAGCCACACCACTGATACTACCAGGAGTAGGCAGTGAATGCTGCTACCATAAACAGATATCCTGAGAACACAAAGCAGTGCTCAGCCAGTGCCCCAGACTCAACACTCACCTCTTCTCCTTTACTGAGTCGATCAACTAACATGTGCCTGGAAAGAGAGCAAAGGAAGCTAAGTCACAGGCCAGAATCAGCAGAAGATTACAAGCTGTCAAGAACAGCCAGATACCTGAGCCCTTAGGTAAGAAAAAGGTATCAACCCTTCTTGTCCCAGCTCACTGGGAGCTGCTCAAACATCAGCCCTTGGCTGTGAACAAACATCAAAGATGACCCCTCAAGGCTTCTCCCCTGTTGCACAGGGATGCATATGCAAGTAAAACTTATCATGCCTACCCAAAGAGAAACCAGTCATAGGCCACTGTCAGGTAGAGAATCTCAGATGGCTCCAGGGATGTGTGGATCAGCCCATCCTGCAAAGCAAATGACACAGCCTTCAGGCAGCAGCCCTGGGGACTAAAACTTGGGAATTCATGATCTGCTGAAAACCATCACAGTCTTCCTCTGTGCCCATCTTCCTCTACCTGCCTGTGACAGCACCTCCAAAGGAATGTTAGGAACATTAACAGCTCCACCACCACTTCTGGGTGATAGTCAGTCACCCTCCAAGCAATCAGCCCCAGAAACAGAGGAGGTCAGCCAGGTACTCACAGCCCATAAGGAGAGGCGCAATAAGGAGATGAAGAGAGGCGTTCGATCCCAGCCGGATATACAGTGCACCAGGAGCCCACTGTCATCTGTTCCAGAGGTAGGAAGGAGAAGGAAAAAAAAAAGGGATATTGCAATGAGAGCAATGACTTTTTTTTATGGCAAATCTGTAGAGACAAGCTACTCTCTGTACCCACAGCCCAGGCTCAAGAGCAGAGCTCAGCCAGAACATTCTGTCTTAAATACAGCAGCCAACAAATTGCTCAGAGTGTCCTGGGTTGTCAGCAGCACCAGCTGATGTGCTGTCCTGGTCCTGACGGCTGCTCAGGACATATAGTGATTAGATATGAACATCACTTTACTACCCTGAACATACACTTACCCAGCTGTAACCCACTATCACAATCTATTCCTACAATGGTGAGAAAACAGCCCCAACTGAACATTTTTTCAGTCTCACTAACTTTCCTGCTGCACAATGAGCACACAAAAGGCACAAATCCTACACCCTACAGAAAACCCACAGGTACTGCAGGAGAGTATAGCTGGCCATGCTGTCAGAGCCAGCCATGGCTCCATCCATCAGTACTAGGTCACAGTGCCCAGAGGGAATGAGACCACACAGGGCAACAGACACACTTCAAAGAGTTGGGGTGTTCTTGATGAAAGAAGGTGGAAGGGGCTCTTAAACAGGTACCAAATGAGATCCTCTGTTGAGGAGACAATACAGGTAACCAGCAAAACAAGAGCAAGAGTCAAAAAGCAAAGACACAATGTTCCTTCCCTTCAGGTTTAAAGTAGTAAAACAATAGGCTAAGTTTTCAGATATCCCTTTGTGCTCAGGAAGAAAGGGTTTTCAAGGAATTAGTAAGTCCCTCTCTAAGAGGACAGCTGGAGTTCTGAGATGGTAGGACCATCACCCTGTTTTGAAGGGAGAGAATTAAAAGTGACTTCTGTATTGAGAGTTGATCCACAGTCACACTAATACCATCAGCTGTTCTTCCAGGGACAGGGACTGCACCAGTTACACTGCTGGGAGCAAGGAGTTTGCCTTACCATCACTATTGATAATGGAGATCAGTAGCTTCAGGTAGTTCTGTGTCTGTTGTACGAGGTCCCAGCTCTGCAGAAAGAGGAATGTTGATGGTAAGGGTCTGCCCACAGCAAAAGGCTGCTCTGCAGTTCAGAGTTGTTCTATCCAGAATAGCAGCAAAGCAGAAATAACCACATGGCCATTCCTCAAAGTGACAGACTTCCCCTTTGTATCAATCTCCCCACCCTCTGCAAAAGGCACTCTAGGACAAGGTACCAGGTAGGGAAATAAAACAATAGAAGGCCATCTCTACTGTCTTCCTGGCTTGCAGCCCCAAAGCTCCAAGAGAGGCAGCTCGGAGAGGCAGCAAACACCTGCAGAGCACTGACCCAGTTCTGCACACGTGCACTTTTCCAAGTGGTTGAGCCACATTCCAGCCATGTGTGCAATGCCAGCAGCACGATGGGATGTGCAGGCCAAGGCCAGTGGCCTGTTCCCACAACCCAAGCACTTTGCTCAAACTCTGTGGTCCTTGAAAATGTCCCCAGCAGGCTGCTGGCAGAGGGCTGACCCTCAACCACCCTCCAGACAGGCACTGGACTTCTTCAGTAACTCCCAAGTAGCAGTAGAACTACAGAAGGGCTCTGAACTCAGAGAATTCCAGTACTACAGGACATCAGAACAAGCCCGAGCTTGTCACTTGACCATCGTGTCACAAGCAGGTTCAGAGAATTTCAGTGGTTTGATTAGAATCAGGACTAGCTCAAGGGAAGTAAGATAGCACTGGCAAGGAAAAAGCAGAGTGGGACACATTTCACACAGAAGTGTTAGTGATACAAGTGACATGTGACCACAAACAACAGAACCCTCGCAGTGTGCTTGCATGTGTGCACATCTGTGTGTAACCACACTGAAGCCTAGTGTCAGACAAAGAACATATTGCTCAGCCACGAAGCCTGTCGAGCCACAAAACAGTAGGAAAACGGGGAACACAGTCAGCCTGCAGCAGAAAAACACATAATTACAAAACCTTTTATCTGCCCAATTCAATCCATCTTCTGCTTATTTTAGAAGGCATCATCCAATTATCCAGTCTGATCTCTCTATATCACAAACAAGCAAGTTTTCTTCAGTTGCCCCACGTACAGCCTGAAGCTTGCACTTGGCAACATCATTGCCCAGAGAAGTATCTCAAATAGGGGTGACAGCTCATTGCTCCTTTGGCAGCATGTTCCAGCAGATTATCCTCAAAAACAACATGCAAGACTGATTTTCCTTATCTGAAGGCCTGATTTCAGATGCAGATATTGCTTCCTATGCAGCTCTTCTTCTTCCCCAGATTGAAGAGTGCTTTAGAATTACTATTTTCTCCCTACATATGTACTTACACATTAATCAAGTCAACCCTCCATCATGTTAGTGATTAGCTAAACAGACTGAGAACTTCAGTTTTGAGTGAAACGTTCTCCGGACCTCAAATAATTTCTGCATCTATTTATTACACTCTCTTCAATTTTTAATATCCTTTTTAAAATACTGACTGCTCAGTATTCTAGTGAATGAGTTTCTAGCCATACACAAGCTGTAGTTCTATTAGTTCTGCTTCAACTTTTCTGTGATTCTGCATATGCTGGCACTTAAACAGTACTTACATCACTGACAACAAACAGGGAGCTCTGCTGGTTCTGTGGTGCTTCCAGCCACAGGGCACAGTAACGTGACATGCTTCAGCACAGTCAATCCCAACAAAACCTGGTAGACCCACTGATGTGTGAAATGGAACATACTAATCAGTAGTATAAGGTGATACTCCCTGGTGTGAGCAAAGGTAGACTATGAAGCTTGAGCAAACAGAAGAGTTCAATTACTGTCTGCCATGCTGTCCATAGTAAGGAGTGGAAACCTGCCATGGTCAGTTATGATTATCTACTCCTCTCCCATAAGAAGGCACCTTGCACATCCATGAAGAAGATGCCCAGTCCCTTGGCTCTGCTCACAAAGGAGAAGGTTGACCTCTGTCAAGATTTCCCACAGCCAAAGCAGTCTGCCCAGGGCAGGCCCAGACTGTGAACAGGTAATACTGCTTTCTGTTTCCTGTCTTGTTCCTTCCCTTTGTTAGCAACCTATCTCCCTGATGGATTGCAAATTTTCAAAAGCTACAGAATAAGGTTTGAGTTTACAGGCAGCTGCCTGAGGGCACAGCAAGCCATGGAGCTTTTGGGTACAGGATTTCCACTACTGTTCTGAACTGTCAAGCAGCCTCGCCCCCACTGGGATGCTACGAAATGAGCCAGATTACAGCAGTAGGAGAAGGTAAGACTTCAAATCTCTCCTGATCCTTCCTGAATACATCCCTGACCTCCCACAGAGACATCCACTTTGCTCACCTGGTACTCGCTCCAATCAATATTCAGAGATTGGGTCAGAGAGACTGGGATACTTAATGGAGCATCTACATAGTCCTGTAAAAAAACCAAACACAGTTGGTCAGAGAAAAGCCATGACTTGAAGAGAGTGAGTTCCAGAAAAAAAAAACAAAACAAAAAATGCCAAATGGTGCATGAGAAGAAAACATCTCAGCACAGCATCTTTGGATGCAAAATGCTGAAGACGTAAGAATAAATTCAGACTCTTGGAAGGACTAATGGACAAGAGGAGTTTTTATGTGTTCCAAACAGTGAAACTAACTGGGCATGTTAGTCTCTGAGTATCTGTAAGACTGCCCCACCCAACCACCCCTCAGCTGGAGACAGAATATGAAGAAAGAACTGAGAACCAAGGCTATCAATGAGGTCAAAATTCAAAACTGGAAGCAATCCATACTTTCCATGAGAGGTCAAGCATCCTACACTTCAGGACAATGATTAATTTATTTCATATATGAATTTTACAATCAATAATTTAGTATGTTCCCTATCTGTTTTGTTTGTCCTGTTGATTTCCTCCTTGTGATCAGAAATAGGCACATGACATATACACCATCACTGAGGAACTGGGAGGCAAGACTTAAGCCCACTAAAACACTCAGCTCTCCATTTTGTAACATTCATGTACCTGTTTCCAGTTAAATATGAGACCTTCAGCTGTATAATCCCGGTCTTTGTAGTCCTTAAAAAATTCACAGCCTAAAAGAAAAGGAGATAATGAACAAGGATTCAGCTAACTGGTATCTAACAAGTGAAGTGCCCTGTGGGACTGGGAGTGCTGGCAGCCCCAGGCTTCAGAAATCCGAACCAATCAAAACTGCTGCCTGTGGGAAGAGCAGAGCAGCAATCCTCAGTACACTGTGCAGCACGGCCTCCAGCAACAACAGCCCAGGGCACTTAGCAGTACAGACACTCACACAGCAAAGGGCAAACTCCAAATACAGCAAACGGGGAGCTTGAGGGACTGATTTAATTTTTTCCTGAACAAAAGGTTTCACCAAAGAGCTATGTTTTGCAGGGCCATGGACTTTTGCACAAATCTAAGGCATCAGCTTGACATGCTGAGTGAGAAGGAACCACCAAAAGGTGTTGGCAGAGCCCCAGGGAAAGCCAACTTTCACAGGGCATCTGCTGCAGGTAACAAGAAAGGGGTGTCAGAGGTGGCTGTGATTTCTCTTACATTTAAGTCTTCTCCTTCAAACATAGGATTTACCCCATCTGAAGGAATGAGTAACCATGTAACCACTTCAAAGCTGTCCCCCAAGGCTTCCCCTCCTGAAGTGTGTCTTTTGGCTCAGGTCTTCTCAAACAACTATTTGAAGTCTCTGCTGCAAGCTGCAGCCACTTAGTCACAGCTGAGCAGCACCATTAGCACTGCGGCTGCCTGCAGGCTACACAAAACACCTCTCCCAGTGTGCTGTGTACACCTCAGCAGTGCCACAGTGCCCACACCACCCAGACACCCCTGGGCCAGGCACAGGACATGGAGAGAGATTCCCACCCCACAAGTCACAAGTAACTTCAATGGAAAAAAAAAACAAGTAAAGAATCTTTGTGCAAGGACAGGACTAATCCTCAAATATACAGTCAGGACACAGTCTGTCAGTTGAGATTTAACTCCAATTAAACAATGACTTCATGCAAAGAATGGGGGATTATGGCATAAGTGTTGGCATCCACAAACTAAAAGCTTCTACAGATACCCCATTTTAACTCAAGTCTTTCACTCCAGGCAGTTCTTACTCTTTCCTTGGTAAAATCTGCCTCAATGGCTGAGCCCAAAGAGTGGTGGTGAATGGAGTTAAATCCAGTTGGTGCCTGTATTGGGGCCAGGCCTATTTAATACCTTTACTGATGATCTGGATGAGGGGAACAACTGTACCCTCAGCAAGGAGTAGAGTCATTAGCCCTGGAGATATTTAAAAGACAGGTAGATGTGGCACTCAGGGACATGGTTTAGTGGGGGATTGGGCAGTGCTGAGTTGACAATTGGACTCAATGATCTTAAAGGTATTTTCCAACCAAAACAATTCTATGATTGTTTGGACACTGCCTTGCTCACCTAAGGCGACAGGATCTCAGAATAACTTCAAAAACAAATTATGAAACAGAAATTCTTTCAGTGCAACCCTGGAAACATCAATAAGAATGTATCATGGCATTTGGCCAGTCACTAGAGGGGTTGCTGATCCTTAGATGTGTATGCCTTAGATTTAACAGAGTGACAACATTCCCCCATGGACCAGCACTGCTGAAATCAGGCAACATCTGCAGGGAGTATTTGCAGTTTCATAAGGTTTATCTCTAGCGTGGCAATGAAGAGCTGCTAAAAGAAAGCAGCTGTCCCGGAGGGCAGAAGAGGAAGGACCATCACTGAATAATATTGCTTACCATACGCAGATCCCCATACAGAAACAACTCTGCAGCTTAACTCTATAGAGTCACTTCCTCATTCCTTACAGCCCTACAGAAGACCTATGTACACAGTCTTTCTCATGTTCCAAGTCTGGTAATGTGTGCAGCAGCAACATATACCTCTGCTATGTACTACAAAAATCAATAATACTCTTATTTCTGCACACTTTAGCAACCTGCATGGCAAACTCGATAGAAATCTTCATGCAGCTTCTCTGAATTGTCACTAATTTCTGTATAAAAGGAAATACACCTTTAAAAAAAATGTTTAAGAGTAACAACTAGCAGTCAAAGAAAAGTCTGGGTCTGGATCATCCACCAGAGTTTTGCTTTTTTCCACCAGGGTTTTGGTTTTTTTCTCCTCTTCCTTTCTTTGTGCACTAGGGAGAAAGAAGAGTCTGCAGACAAACCTCAAGCACAGCAGCCTTGCATCTGATCCTGTCGCCAAGCCTGACATCAGCAGGCAGGCAGGAATATTCAGTTCATCTGTAAGAGTACAAGTGACCCAGCAGCGGTTGCTAGGCACAGGGATGGATATAGCCAGGGAGACAGGCTGCAAAGGGCTGCCTCTGTTGTACACTGCAGACTCAGGTGAACTATTCTGCAAGCACTGAGGATTTCTTACAGTGGAGCTCTGAAACACTAAACTAGAAATTACCCTTAAGAATTGGGTTTTTACATAACAGAGAACAAGATATATATTTTGCATCAAGTAGTAGTTTGGAGTTGCAGAGATGTCAAAGGCCATCTTAATCAGCTACATCTCTGGGACTTTTCCTACGTGCTTGAATTAATAAGGACTGCTGAGAAATTATTTTGCCACCTCAAAGAATGCCTAATGCTAACTCACACTGCCAGAGCATCCAGGTTCATTGCACTGTTCTTAGTTTAAAGGAGTTTTTCTCCAGCGGGAACACAGGAAGCAATCAGCAAGTCACAGTCATTTCCATAAATACACAAGGAGTTATTTCCCAGTCCCCAGAAATGGACTGTCACCTGTCCCTTGTGAATTCCTTTGGACATCATTCCTGTACCTGGATATGGGATGGAGAGAAGTGTGAAATCAGCGTAACGTTGAGCTTTGTCCACCTTCTCAGAAGACGTCACACTGCACAGGACAAGAGAAGAACAGCAGATATTTACAGAGTGTTTTTCACACAGACACCAGCACCCAAAAACCTACCTGCTGTATCTCCCTGCACTATGACTTGACTCAGTTGTGAGCAGAGGCAGAACTTACTCAACATATCCACATAAATAGGTACAGCCCAAAATCACTAAAACTTTTCTCTGAGATAAATAGGAGAAATATCTCCCTTGGTTCCTATGCACAGAGGGCACCTTTGCTGTCTCCCTTCTGAAGGGGTGACTGTCTCCTTACTATAAGCTCTACAGGGAGAAAGCCATTTAGACTGCAGAAGACAGATACAAGCAGCTATGTTGCCCATTGATACAGTTTTCTGTGGTCTAAAACCTTGGAGTTTTCTTTACAGCATCAAGCAACCTATCCTGCTGTGGAATTCTTCCAGGGATTGCTTCCAGGATGCTGAATGCACACCTGACAGCAATTCACATGTAAGGGCTACACTAGCTGCAAATCAAAGCCTGCACAAAAACAAATGAACCCAGACTCACTTCAAGCCAAATTTCACCTTCTTGTTTTCCACCATCAGGTCACAGATGTATCGGACAGACAGGTATCGAAGCAGCTTGATGTCGTGTCCTCTGACCTTGTCAAACAGCTGGGAATCTGCATTTCTGCAAGACAGAACGAGACAAGCAAGGTGAGCATGGAAGACTGACCAAGTTGAGTCTGATTCTTCCCAGCTAAGCCACAGTTCCTTCCTGAACCACTTCTAGCCATAAGCAGCACTCCACAGGTCTGAGTCAGACTCTGCAAGCTCTGTGCTCATGGCCTCTTCCCACATCTAATTCCTTTCTGCAACAAATACATAATATACAATACAATTTCTACACCCTGGAGATGAACTTTTTTGATGAAGTAAACACAGCTATGCCCTTCAAATACCTTTTTTTAATGGCTCTACATATTCCTGTCTCCAGCCTTTCCCTCTGGCAACAGATTAGCAGGCTTCAGCTACACTAGGTTCAGCCAGCCATTAATACTCAAGACTCTTTTCCAAAAGCAAGGAAAGTAAGCCCCTGAGCCTTGTGATGGGTCTTAAGCCTATGTCCAAAATCCAAACTAGAAAAGAGCAGAACTGAGTGGCTGAGCCAGACAGCTTATGTCCAAACTCCCTTTTCCTCATCCCAATGATGCATACAAACCTAAACGCAGAGTCTTCCTCGGAAATGTCTTCTGCATCTGCCCAAGCATCATCAGAACCTCCTACAAGAAACGCATTAAGAATTGAAGCTTTTTCAAACCAACTTGATCCCCAACCTGACAAGGTATGCACACTAACAAAAAGGTCCTGGTTTGGTGCCTCCTCTTCACACCTAAATGTGGATCTCTTTTATTTCCTCTTTCTGAAAGAAAATCTTGTTTTCTAATGTAGTCCACTCTTTCCTTGTCATTGTAAAGTACCTGGGCAGGTCAAACCCATGACTGACAGCCAGAGGACACCTCAAAAATGGTATGCAGTGCATTTTTAAGCCAAGCTTCAGCTCCCACACTACAGACACCCACTGCTCCCCTGAAGAGCTTTCCCTGGAGTCCAGTACATCTCACTATTAGCAGCATTGATTCCAAATGATTAGTCAAGTAACAGCAAGTTCTAACCCTTTTTCCTCCAATATTCCTATCCCCAGTGTTTGGGAATTGATACCCTGAATCCTTTGTGATGCCTTTATTTGCCTACATGTTTCCTGTAACTCACTCTTCAGCCTCAAGTTCTTTCGTCACTGAGCTGTGGCACTGTCCTGTAGCACAGTGCTTGGAAATCAGACATGAGGTTTCAGTCTTCGCTCTGTTACGCTAAGCCTGATACAAGCAGCCCATGCTAGAGCTCTCGCTGGTCTTGGGAAGAGCTTGGCTTCATGTGCAGGTCCCTGTCCCAGCAGTGACCAGCCTTACCATGCAAACAGTGATAAATAGCTCCTCACTCACCAGAGAAGATATAGTTGTAGCCAGTGCGCCCATAGAGCTCACCCCAGCCGGCCAGTGTGGCTGATCTGCAAATATGCTGGAGGAAGATTTTTGCATTAATCACACAGGCTCCAGGAGTCTTTCCCTTATCATGCCTATTTGCTGTCAGGTTACATAGAAAAGGTTGGTACCTACAGCTATCATCTCTCAGCTGTCTGCCCTGCAACCCTGGTCTCTGGATTGAGTTCTCTAAACAAGGAAAACTCCCAAGTGTTTTTATCTGTAGCTGGTTTTTAAATCATATTTTCATTTCCAGTTCTCCAATGCATTAAGATAGTCAGTTCCTGCCAAGTTAGCAACACATGCTCTGTTAATGCCTTGCTTGAGCCTTATTTCCACATTCCTCTGGATGAGATTATGGATGGCCTCAAGACAACTCTGGGCAGTTCACTTCTGCAGAAAAAGGTCAGCAGATGCAGTCCATGATGGCTTCAGTCAAGCTAGATTAAAATTGTCACAGGTATGATTTTGCTATTCATACAGCGTTTCTAAATTCAACTAAGAAAACTGAATTAAGCTACTTAAATTCTAAATGAGACTATTCCTACAGGGCTTCAACACAGTTTAAGTAATTCACATAAAAATGAATCTAATTTCACTTTCTTACAGATCCCCTTGCAGACAAGCCTACACATTCATAAGACCATTTATGCAATCTTGCCTCCCAAGGGAACAGACAAAGGAAACTTCTCTGGAGAGAGGAAAGTTACTCAAAGGGAGCTGCTGGGAAGAGCAAGGAACAAACAGGGACAATAGTTATCTTTCCCCTCTGAAATATCAAATATCTTAAGGATTTCAGAAGAGACATCTAGAGGAGGGAAAAAAAAAGTTAGATCTTTGATGCAAGGCTCATGACTTGGTGGAGGAGAACAGCCTGAAGTGCCTGGAGACAACTTATGCAGCGTAGACAGCAAATGCTACCTGCTACTACAGGCTGTCTGCTTGTAGCTAAGCACAGATTTTTATACCACTTGGAAAAGTGACAAATGACTGAAAATATGTCTGCACAGTTCAAATGGCAGAGAGAAAGGTAATTTTCTCAGTAAAGACAGGTAACCCATGAAGCTTTACCTTTCCCTTGTACAGAATGACTGGGCAAACAAAGCGTCCTCTACACCTGGCCATCTTACTCCGGTTGATGAGGTCCTGCAGTTTGCCAACCTGCACAGTGCTCTCATACCTACTGGGCAGAGATTCAGGTCAGTACACAGAGCATGTTCTCACATCTTTCAGCAAAGCCACCACAGACACCCTGGGCTGCAATCCCATCCCTTTCCCTAGAAGTCAGCTCTGAAGTTAGTAAGCATGCAAACACTTCTTTGAGAGTTGCTTCTGCTGCTGTAAGACACATTTGGACACTTTTCTGACTCCTTTTCTTTATTTTGAAAGACCAATGCACAGTACATAACAGCACCATCAGGAATTGGCAATATGAGCACCACCAGTAGGGTCTGCCACAGACTTAACACGTGGATTACTAGGGAAGGACAGCCAGTCTCTACAAAAATACATGTTCTGTTTTCCTCCCTATCACTTTTCCATTCGTAAGCAGCTGAGCACTACCATCACAGTAAATCAGCTATCAGTGACAGTTTTGCAAGACAAAAAAGAAATATAATAGAAAATCAAATCTTGAACACTCCATGATCCTCAAGCATTTGTGTTGTCAGGTAATTAAACAACTAAATCAGCTAGTGGGTTGAGCAGGATATTTAGATTACTGTCAGCTGCATCTGCACAACTACATTTTGTTTGGTTTTCTTGTTGGAGTTAAAATAGAATTGTGCTTCATACAGGAGACATTTTGGAAACCTGTTAAAATTACTCCAGTTTGTCCAAGTATCAGCCCACATCTGACAGGAATCCAAATCACTTCTGAACTACACAGACCTCCAGGAGGAACTGTCAATGCAGAAAGAACTAGAGTTGGAATTGGAGAAGCATCCAGAGTGATATATTAGAAACCAGATGAAGTCTGGACATACAAAACTGCATGGCTATGCACTTGGGTGTGATTAACAAGAACTTCCAGTCAGCCCTTTCCAGTAATGGAGCACAGTAGAAGAGTCAGATGAACTGCCTGCTCTCTGGATGTTAATACATTCTCAACATGGTAAATCTGAAAAACGGGAAAAATAAGATCATGGGAAATTCCCTAGAGAGATGTAGAAGTACCAGCATTACAGTGCAGAGCACAGGCTCTCAGCTGAGATAAAGCATCTGATTCTAGTGACCCACCCCTGCCTAAAAAGGCACAGGAAGATGAGTAGGATGGCCAAGGGACAGTCTATGCTGCAAGAGAAACCACCAGGGTCTGATGGGAAGGGCAGATGAAGATGAGCAGATGCACAGCAATATGTGCATCAGGGTGAAGAAGAGTACAAAGGAGGAGGAGGAGAACTCAAATGCAAAGGACAACCCTGGCATAAGAACAAACTAATATCTTTATGATGGAAGGTAATGAAAGTTGCTAAACTTCAGAATCACTGAGAGCGTGGAGCAATGTACTAGCAGCTGACATTCTGGGAAGGATTTAAAGAAGAATCTATTATTAAAATGCAAATAGATCTGTTTATGGAAAATATTATACAAGGTGGTACCAGTGGAAGTAGTGAAACAGAAAACAAGACTTTCAAATCCTTTTTATTTTTTTCTAAAGAAGGATTAAGTTCTCAGAATTCATAGTAGTGGTTTAAGGCTTTTTCATGTTTTCCTGCATATACAATATTTTGTTGTCCAGCTCCAAAGACTTTGACATGTATCAGAATTTAAAGAACAAAAACCCAAGCTAATCTTCTTTAAACAATGTGAACATGAGGGTGCTAATTGGAAAGGCAGGAAAATGTGGGCAAGTGTGAGAAGAGATGCCACCATGTGTAATTCCAAACAACAAACTACTTTGAAACTCAAAAGATTCTGATACATAGATTTGGTTGTGAGGCTCTTTTTAAACAAATGCATGCAATTAAGCAATATATCATATCCTGCACTCTGCTCCAGCTCCCTTTACATTTCCTTTGCAAAAGCAAAGGGAACAAGAACTTAAATGTGGTGTTACCAAAATAGCTCCATGGCACTGTTTCCAAGTCCAGAAGACGAGAGTCGACAAAAATGAAACACCTGAAAGATCAGAAATTGTAAGAGAAATACCTCTCTGGGAGCTGAGACAAGGCAACAGGCTGCACTCACTGCACATCCCTGGAGAGGTTTCTGTAGCACTTGGGAATGAGACTGAGCAGCTTGGCAGGAACGCAGGACATGGAGTGAGCAGGAAGCCCAGCACTCCACTGGGGACATGGATGGATTAAGCCATCAAGGGGGAAGATGCTCTAAAGAACAAGTGTAATGCTTTTACAGGAACTAGTGATTAAATACAGCATAAATAGAAGTAAAATCTACAGAAAAAGGTTCAAAACACACAGAATTCCTCCTGGACCTGCCTGGTTTTGAAAGTACTGTTAGCAAACTTTGATCAAGCAACGTCCTTTCTTCCCCCAGCTGCCCAGCTACAGAATTAACTGACTTAGGTTAAAAATACCCATTTTTTGCTGTTTTCCCACAAGGCTCCAGAAGCAGCTGTACTGGCAGAAATGATGGTGCAGAAGAGAGTTTGTACATGTGAAAACTGCTTCCAAAGCACCTCAGTATTCTCGGAGGTGTGAAGCGTCAAGTAGATCTTATCAGCTGATTACAAACATTACAAAGATAAAACCAGAAGTGTTCTAGGTCAGATTGGAATTGGATGATCTTTAAAGTCCCTTCCAACTCTCAAGCCATTCTGTGGTTCCACAAGAGGCAGAGACTCGATCCTAGATGGAGTGTCCTGCTCACTGAAGAGGTTCTTGCCTTCCATAACACAAGACATGCAAATGTCTCTATTTTGCAATTATTCCACAGGAGTAAAATGATTAAACTAAAACCTGCATTTGTCTAAAAATCACTTAGAGGCCTTTACAAAAATCAACACCCTGAAATCAGGAGAGTGATGATGAAATGTGGTCTCTTTTTGTGACTCTCTTTGGGACAGTAAATCAAAACTTGCCAAGAATCAGTATAAATACAGTTAATTGCCACTGCTGTCTTGAAAAATGTCACAGAAGAAAATGGGGCACTAAGTGTAAGTACTCGTTTTGAATACTTGTCAGAAAAATTAAGCATCCTTTCCTCTTGCAAGAGCAGGAAAAGCAGAAGTATTTGGTTTCCCTTCCCTAAAGCTTCTCTAGTTACATTTAACAGCTTCAAACTTCAATTTCCTGTTTTTTGCAGCAAGGAGTTTAATCTTTTCTCATCTCATCCAACTGTTAGACAAAAATTCTCCCACCTGGTAGTCAGTTGTGGCTGGTTTCCAAAGACCCCCTCCTACAGCACCCAGCCTACATGCCAGCACGGCAGCTGATGGTTTTCCTTCCTCAGGCAAAGCAGCTGGACATGTGAGAAGGACTTGTTGACTCTCCTTTTGAACACATTACTCTTGTCATGGACACATACTCAAGACTGCAAGACTGCATTATGTTTTGTTGAAAGATAAAGTAAAAGTGAGAGGCTGTGGTTGGAGCTGGAAGGAGCAGCTCATACTCAGCCAGAAATGAGATCAACGTGATCCTGAGCCTGTGGGTCAAAGTCCAGAGATGTGCTGGCTCAGACGTGCACCAAACTGAACAAGCATTTCCCGTTAGCTCACTAAACCTCAGCGCCCATTGACCTGTTCAACATGGTGGGGAGAGACAAAATAACCTGGAACCTCGTCTCGAATGACAGAAATATTTGTCTAGACTGTCTTGTCTGCCTAGCCCCATCAGACCTCCTGCCACAAGATTTGCAGACCAAAATTTCCCACATCAGAGGCCTTGCTGCAAGAACACATGGGCTTCATCAAAACAGGGAAAGCATCACACAGGCTTGCTCCCAACCTTGAGCCTTCGGGCGAATTGCAACACAACAATCACCAGGAACCAACGCTGTGTTCAGATTTACTCCAGGGTCACATGCAGCGGGGCTGGCGCTGCCCCGGAGCACCCACCCCGTTTCCTTCACACCCCTCGAGTAACAGGCTCAGCTTGGCAGCTTTCACCAAGGCGGCCCAAGAACCCTGGGAGGAGCCCCACGGGAGCTCGGCAGCCTCGGCAGGCAGCGAGGGGAGTCCCGGCAGCGGCTGACACCACCGGCTATAATTAGAGCAGCGCAGCCCGCAGGGCTTCCCCGGCCGGCGGGAGCCTCGGAGCGCCAGGCGCGGAAGCTCCCGAGACAGCAACTCCGCTGGGCGTCAGCTGCACGGGACGGGACACGGGAACCGGGGCCTTACGAGTCACGGCTGGCGCCGGCGTCGCGCTCCAGAAGGACGATGTGCCGCGGGTAGTGGGCGCAGATCTCGCCGTGCACGTTGGGGATCACGCTGTAGCGATAATCGCGGCCGAAGAGCTCCAGGCACCGCCGCTCGATCCGCTCCACCTGCGCAGAGCCATCGCTCAATGCCCGCCGCGCCGCTCCCCACGCCCCCCGAGCCCCGGTGCCCTCACCTTGGCAGCGGCGGCACCGCCGCCGTCCTTGGCGCGGTACTGTACCCGGGAGAACTCCAGCAGCAGCTCGGCCAGGGCGCGGTCCCCGGAGCCCGCCGGGGGGCAGCCGCGGGCTGCCGCCGCCGCCATGCCCGCGCTGCTCACCGCCGCCTCGGGCCCATCGTCCCGCCCGCCGCTTCCGCCCGCCCGCGACGCGCCCCTTCCGCCAGCTCCCGGCGTCATCGGGGCGCGCCGCGCTCCGCCCCGGGGTACCCAGCCCCGCTCCGGGGGTACCGGGCTCTGCTCCGGCCTCGCGTTAAGACCCGCAGAGGGACGCGGCAAACCCTGTCAGGCCTCGCCGAGTGGGTCCGACCGTGGCGCTGGCCGGCGTGCCCAGGGCGCTGCCCTAAAGAAAGAATCCCGAGGCGGGTTTTAATTAAAGAAGCCTCTCTCGGAGTGTGGTCGCATGCACTGAGCCTGTGGCAGAGGAGCTGCGGGGTGAGCGGTGTAGCTGCCCGGAACACGGCTGAGGGCGGCACTGGCTCATGTGCCCGGGCAGTGTCACGGAGCCAGCTCGGGCTGTGCGTACTGAGGGTGACGGGCACTGCCCGTGCCCAGCCGGAGGCACGCGGCTCCTTGGCTCTTGCAGGGGAACACAATGTGTTTTTTGTCTGCATTTGTCTACTTTTCAAATCAGCTGTGAATCTTTATAAGCATTTAATGACAGCCAAGTTCAGCTGCAGCTAACGCAGTGCATCTCGCTGCCTGAGAATGAAACTGGCCCGACACGGTCGGTCTCTGCTGAGTTTGGGACCGGGTGTGAGGTTGACAAGGCGGTGGCAGGATTTCACAAGGGCACCTGCTGGGATCCAAGTGCTGATAGCCTGTGTGACACTACTGGCATAGCCGTTCACCCCAGCCCGGTCATCCACCACACCCAGCCTGACGCACGTTGTGTACCCCAGCCCTGTCACCACATCTGACCTGGCACAGCCGTGTACCTGGCCTCGGTCTGTCAGAGGTTTTGTGTCTACTCCTGTTGCCCCAGAGCGGGAGCAGCCACAGTGGCGGCAACGTACTTGCTCCATCCCTGCCAAGAGGGTGGGGAAGGTCTCCTGCCCGTCTGGGGGGCTACGCCGGCAACCCGCGGGCCTTCCCCGGACTCCTGAAGGGTGCGGCAGCACGGACGCTCTCCCTGCGGGCGCACTCCGGCCAAAGGCACCGACGCGGACACCTTCCAGCATTTATCGGAGCCATGCCCTGGGGCTGCCCCGGGCGGGGTCGGTCCCGGGGAACGGTCCTGCCGGATCAGGGGGGAGGAACGGGCCCGGGGATCCGACCCGAGCCAACCGAGTGGATCCGAGCCGAACCGAGACGAGTCCGTCGCAAGGCGACCCGAGCCCGGCCGAGCCCGAGGCGAGCGCAGCCGAAGGCGGAGTGGTCCGATCCCCGGAGGGCGCGCTTGGAGGGTCTCGGTTCGGCTCGGGCTCGGCTGGGCTAGGCTGGACGGGACTGGACTGGGCTCGGCCGGGCTCGGCTCCGCAGTGGCGGGGGGGCGCACGGCCGCGCGCGCGCGGCGGGAGCGCGCGGGGCGCAGAGGCGGCAGCCAAGATGGCGGCGCGGGTGTCGCAGGGCCCGGCAGCCCGCGGGCGCTCTTAGGCCGCGGCCCCCCCGCCCCGCCGACCCCGGGCGGGCTCCCCGCCGCCCCGGCCCCTCCCGCCCTCTGGCAGCGGCGGCCGGCAGGATGCTGCCCTCGCAGGAAGCCTCCAAGCTGTACCATGACAACTACGTGCGGAACTCGCGCGCCATCGGCGTGCTCTGGGCCATCTTCACCATCTGCTTCGCCATCATCAACGTGGTGGTCTTCATCCAGCCCTACTGGGTCGGCGACAGCGTTAACACGCCCAAGCCCGGGTACTTCGGGCTGTTCCACTACTGTGTGGGCAGCGGGCTGGCGGGCCGGGAGCTGTCGTGCCGCGGCTCCTTCACCGACTTCAGCACCATCCCCTCAGGCGCCTTTCAGGCGGCCGCGTTCTTCGTGCTGCTCTCCATGGTGCTGACGCTGGGCTGCATCACCTGCTTCGCCCTGTTCTTCTTCTGCAACACCGCCACCGTCTACAAGATCTGCGCCTGGATGCAGCTGCTGGCAGGTACACACCGGTACCGGGAGCCACGGGCACCGGGAACACCGGCCTGCCCTGGGCCTGGCGGCGGGAGACGGGTGGGGAGAATGTGGGCAGCGCTGAGCGTGCGGCACCCCGGGAGCCCCCGGCAGTGGTAGTGGGATCCCTGGCTACAGGGAACACCAAGGTTGCTCAAGGAAGCTGGGCTGAGTCCAAGCACTGCGGGGCCAGGATCCAGCCCTACAGTTTCTTGGGACACCCAGGCCAGGTGCTAGCGCTGACAGATCTGCAGGAATGGGCACCAGTTGGGGACACTGGCACCGAGGGCTCCCTGGTATGCCCTGGCCACAAGGAACACAAGGGCTGCTCAGGAAAGCTGCACTAGATATAGGTGCTGTGCATTCATAGGGCATCCCAGCCAGGAGCTGGCCCTAGGACGTCCCAGGACTTACTAGGACAAACAGGTCAGGCACTGGCACTGACAGAGCACCACAAACAGGTGCTGGCTCTTGGCACTGGCACCTGGGTCTCCCCAGGCAGAGAGTGGCCATAGGGAACATCGAGATTGCTCAAGGAAGCTGGACAGGTACAAGCACTGTAGGGCCATGGGTCTTCTCAGCTAAGAAATGTCCTCTGGACACTCCAGGGCTTCCTGGGACATCCAGACCAGGCATTTGCACTAGGAATGGTGGCATCTGCTTGGGGCACTGGAACCTGGGATTCCCCAGCCAAGGCCTGACACCAGGGAAACATGAGGCTCCCTGGGACACAGCTGGAGAGAGAGCTGGATCAGGGACCCACCTCAAGCAACCCCAGAGCAGGCACTGACCCTGGGATACCTGGATAGTCTGGAGCACTTCAGGACATCCTGGGCTAGGGACCAGCCTTGGGGTACCTCAGTGCACCCCAGTCAAGGACCAGCATTGGGATGCCCTTCAATAGGAACTGTTGCACAGAGGCAAGGACTAAGTGCAAGTTGGCCTAGGACACACTGGATCAGCTCCCTGAATCCCTGGGGATTCAGACACCCCAGCACACTCCACATCAGGGACTAGTCTCCTTGTCAACCCCAGAGACATGGGATTGTCTCCAAGAGATACTCACTTTAGGGGAACACTCAGCCCCCAAAGGGACCCCACCACTGGAAGAAGCCCATGGATGGATCCCCCATCCCTGTAAAAGCACCCTTCAGCTCCCCCTTAAAGACAAATTGTACTCAGGCCCCCTTTCTCCTGCATCATGAAAGGGCTGTGAGGACAGGCCTCTCCCATCTCTCTCCAGTGCTTCACACAGAGGAATACCATACATTTACCGTGATGTCTCCCCAGACATGACCCACTCAAGCCTAGTAATTAACCCCCCCCCCCCCAAAAGTGACCCTGCCTATAGATTCTCCTTAGCTCCCTGCACAAATGAAATCCCACTGTAGATGTACCCCAAAACCCTCACAGACTCTCTCCTCAAAGTGACACTGTACAATAACCCAAATCTTTCCCCAAAAGGGGATCTGATGCCTGTATTGATAAGGATCCCAAGTATCCCATTATGCTCAGACTTCCAAGGTGTCCTCACACAGGGTCTGTCCTTTTGGGACAAAGATCCTGAGGAATGATGTTGAACTTCCATTGGTAGCAAGACTCTTTGCTTCCTTTTCTGCTCAGTTGTACCAGGTGTGGACAAGTATGGACAAATACTTACCCTCTACTGCATACCTAAAACTTCCACTGGAAGGACTTACAGTGACTCTTATTCCTAATGAAAGGACCTCATTCATCCCCTCTGTTAGAAGGGCCCCAGTCCTTAATGTGGAAGGATACAGCCTCTCCGTGTGAGGACCTTTCAGCTAGCCCAGCTCTTTCTCTTGCACCTGGCTTGGGCTGGAGAGCCTGACCTCCCCTCACCCAGATCGGGACCACAGTCAGACCTGGAGCTGCCTTGGCTTATCAGGAAATTCCCTCATCTTTAATTTTCCCTGTCCTGAAGATTTATCAGTTTAAAGCAAGCTCAGAGCCCAAATCCTACTGATTGTCAGCAGCTTAATCAAGTGGCTTGGAGTGCCCAGCTGCTACTGCTGCACAGGGAGCTGTGTGGCAGAGGGCACTGCACTGGAGGCAGCCCTGGGTCTTCTCCCTAGTGCCTCCTGTCCTGTACTGGCTCAGGATTGGGTGGCCATGACAGCACTTTGATGTTGTCACCTCTGGGTACCCTTCACCTTGCCTTGGGGCTTGTCCTTGGTCACACTTTTCACCTTGTAATTACACATATTGCTTACAACTGCACTTGCAAGAACCCTGGGTGCTCAGCTCAGTGGGGCCATGGGCTGGCTCTTCTGGCCCCAGCCAGCCCAGGTTGGCTTGGAGCTCTCCCAGAGCAGCAGGGCTCCATGGCTTCTCTGTTGGGGAAAGTCCAAGGCAGCATTAATAGAGGCTGGCCCTCCACCCTGCCCTGAGAGAGAACAGCGTGACAGAGCTGCTGTCCTACAGTACAGGCTGATATTCCTGTCAGAGAGGGCCTGGGTGCAGATGTGGTGGTGTGGTGTGTTCAGCAAGAGTCTTGTCAGGCAGGGATCAGGCAGGGCTGAACTTCCCTGGGCACAGCTGAGGCAGCCACAGGTGGATGTGTTACCTTGTGCATGGAGAAGGAGCTGCCATGACCTATGGAGAGAACATCACAGGCCAGATCTTATGGGTAGGTCAGGGACGTAGCCTGATGCAGGCTCTGGCACATCATGATGGCAAACTTCAGAGATTCAACCTGTCTGGGAAGTTGGAGGATTCTGCCAGAGCAGAGAGCTTGGAGTAGCAGGGAAGGAAAGGACATTCATCCTTACTCAGTGAGGGTTTAGCTAAAGAAGGACTTGCACTACTGCAGCAGAAGCAACTGTGAGGGCCAAAGTCTCTTGGTCTCACTGGTGAAAGCCAGGTGAGGCAGGTGATGGGCAGAGAGATGGGGCAGAGGTGTCTCCACCCCATCCCTGTGGTATGGCCGGTGCAGAGTAAAGGGCTGCTGATTGTGGGCATGGATGGGCTCTTCAGAGGAGAAAAGACAAGTGCAGGAATGTGGGGGAGGAGGATGCAGAATTCAGGATCTCTTTCAAAAAAACCCAAAAAACTAACCAACTTTAAATCATCAATGTCTAATTAGTGGACAACAATCAAGGCAGGGTTTAATTAGAGCTTGACAGAAAGCTTCAGCTCAAAAGCCACTGCCCCCCTAGGAGGAAACTGGATCTAATTAAGAGGAAAGACTCTGCTTTATCACAAATAGAAATGTGGCCATCTGCCCTGTTCAAAATCCCAGTAACGCAAAACTGGAGATTTTGCTAAATCCTTCTGTTATAAAACCAGAGATGGGCCCTTAACATGAGCATGTCAACAACTGTAAGACTGACAGCACCTGATGCCACCCCAATACTCCAAATTAGTGGAGGAGCACCTTCAGAAAGTTCCATGGGATGATGCTTACTTGAAGAGAAATGGGCTGTGAGGGTAATCCCCCTTGGGATTTGTCTGCAGGAAATCAGAGCATAGGAATACAACCACCAGGCTGCCCAGGAGCCTGAGGATTTCCTTTGATTCCCCACTACTCTGCTGTAGCATAAGACACAGTCACCCTGTGAGTTAAGTCAGAGCTTTGAGCAAAGTTGTCCTGGTGCCCAGCATTAATGCCCTTGCAAGACAGCCCAGCCACCTCTGTGTGACACTGCATCCATGTGCCTCCCATCAGGATGATTACCCCAAGTGGATCCAGGGCTGTTTCCAGAGAGTCTTTGATTTTGTACTTAGAGTCTGTTGAGGGGCAGAAGAGGAAGCGAGCTGAGCACACCATCCTGCTTGCATGGAGGAACTGACTGGCCACATTTTAAGGTGTTTCCCTGTGCTCCAGGTCCAGCAGTCAGTGTGGGACTCTCCCTCCCTTAGAGATACACAACACATGGGGTGTCTTCCCACCTGGGGCTGTGCTCTTGGCCTTTGGGCTGGGCTTTGTCCTTATCAGTGGCATTTTGGCATTGATTGTGCCACGTCCAGCCACCTTGCCTGATGGAGAATGTGGTAATACGTATCCATCTGAGCTCTTTCCTCCTTTGGGAGACTCTCTTCAGAGCTACACTCACCTCTTGGATGGACCCTTCCAAGGCCTGACAACAGAGGCAGATCCCTGAGCAGGGCTTCATCACCCTCAGCTGTGTTTGCCACCATCTGAGTGGGGACCCCTTGCATTGAATGGTTTTAGTATATCAGTGGAGAGGAGTAGTGAAGGAATTGTTCCCAACTGCTGGGCTGAGCATGGTGGAGTTGTGTGATGGTGTGGCCTTAGTCCCAAGGGAAAGCAGGACCTGGCCTGAGTGAGTGCTACAGCCTCAAAACTCTCCCTGGTTCGGCAGCAATAAATGGCTCTGCTGAACCACATCAGGACATGCTCATCTTCCTGACTGTGACTTGCTGGAGACCCAAGTCCTTTCAGAGACTTTGAGGTTTCAAAATACTTTTTTCATGAATATAAAAGTCGTTAATTGAAATTCTTAATGATAAAATATGAGGCAGATACCACTGCTGCAAACTGGCTTAGGGTGTAACTGGGACAAGTGCTGAGCATGAGACTGCCCAGGGAGGTTGTGGAGTCTCTTGTCTCTGGAGTCATTCAAACCCCATCTAGACATGTTCCTGTATCACCTGCTCTAGATGACCCTTGGCAAGAGGGTTGGACTAAATGATCTCCAGAGTACCCTTCCAACCTTAACTATCCCGTGACTCTGCAGTTTGTCCTCAAGCCCTTTCTCTGTCAAAGGGAGAAATGTTGCCCGTATATGAACCACTTCCACCTGCTGACCTTGCAGCAAAAATAACAACACTGCAAAAACCCTCAGCATTTGCTGAATTACTGTTTTCTGGACCCCCCCAAAAGCTTTCCTGAAGATTTCCCTCTTCTTCCCCTACCACTCAGGTCTTGCAAAGGGGACAGGAGCCGGGCTGCAGCCCATCCCTTGCATCCGTGCAGCGCCGTGTGCTCCGCAGCAGCAGCAGCAGCCGCGGGGTTTGCGTGGCAGCGCAGCTCTCCCGTCGTGGCTGTTAATGTGCCTGTGTACTCGCGGGGAGGGGCCGAGCCGGGCGTCTCGGAGCCCTCGTGTCCTGGAGCTTACATCCCTTAACTGTTGTTCCAGATAAAGTAACTGTCAGTTCTGATTCATACAAACTCATAACTCTATTCTGAATCCTGCTGATTTTTTGGCACAGAAACAGCCTGTGGAGCAAAACGCCGTAAGGGAGCTCGTGTCTGTATAAATGGCCGGTGCTCGCCGTCCTGAGCATGCTGCCCTTAGTGTTGATTTATTTTTGAAGGATTTCAGTTTTTAGGGGGAAGAAGGGGGACTGTGTTTGTTTCCTTTCCTTTTGGTGCTCAGCTCTCAGGAGGTTTTCTGGTGAGAAGCAGCCACTCAAGACCCCAACAGCACAGCCCAACCCATGTTTCCCAGGGTTTTTGGATGTGCTGTGCCCATGCCAGGTTTAAAAAGCCCTTTTTGGACCCAGTGATTGCTGGTTTTCCCCCCATTACCCCACATCTTCCCATTTGTGTGTTCTGTGGAAGTGTAATGCTCTGAGGAAGGTCACATCTTAGCTGCAGGGCATGTAATGAGCTCCTTCCACCCGTGGCAGGCAGAAGCAGTAAAAGCCAGTTTTCACTTACACCTGCAGACTAAACTAGATGGAAAAAGTAATTTTAAAAATCAGATTTTAATTCTGCAGGCACAGCTGCTCAGGACAGGGGCAGTGATACTCAGCAAACATAAAGGTTACTCAGACAGTCCAAATTAGCTAAATGCACCTTGTACCAGGAGATGTTATCCTGCCAGGAGAAGCCTCCTCTTTCTGCTCAAATCTTGCTCCAGTGTTGCAGCCTGAGTCATAACATTGCATTCCCTTTGATTAATTTCTTTTGTGAGGATATCAAAAGCCCTTGAGATGCCCATGTTGTTTCTAATGAACCTTGACAAGGGAGCACTGAGGAGTGAGAATCCATGAACCAGCTGTAAAACCAAACCAAGAAATGCCAGCTCTATGGGGCCAGTGCCCCAGCCCCAGCAGGATCATCTTCCCTCTGCATGCACCCTGTCCCAGTGATCACTGAAATGCCTGCACTCAAAACTGTCTTTACAACTGGGAAAATTCTAGAAGAGGGAGATGGAATCCAGGGGCTACAAGAAGGATGGCAGCTGTGGGGTGTGACAGACCAGCTAGCCACTGACAGTGAGGACTGGCACCACACCCTCAGAAGAACAGGAATTAAAAGCAAAATGGACAGGAGTTAGGTTTTTTTTTCCTCTTTTACAGTGGCTCTTCATACTAGTCATCACTGGTGCTTTTCTTGTGGTTGCAAGGCATAGAAATAGGCTGCTTTAAACAAAACCCAAGCTTTTCTTGCAGGTCTGCAAGGGGTCTTGGGGCATTTGGAGGTAGGTGCTGGCAGAACAGTGCTATGGGCAGAAGGACAGGCAGGCAGAGCCCTGACCCCACATCCCTCAGAGCTGTTGGAGAGGGCAGCGCTGAGGCCTGTGGACTGTGTGGGGATCCCCTCCTTGTTCTCGCTCTGCTCTTCAAAGTCACTCCTTGCTGCAGGCACGGGAAGGTGTTTCCAGGACATCGGGCGGCCTGGGGACGTGCAGAAAAGGGAATTGCTTGTGACAGAGCAGAAGACTCGGCTTGCTTCTGGGAACACATAGGACAGATGGGAAGAGGAGGGCACTGAGCTGCTCTTCACCAGGAAAGGACCAGCCTTCAGTAGCACAGCACCACCTCAGCCACTTCCCAGGGAGCTGTGGAGTAGTGAGGGGTTTTTGGTAAGAGGCCAGTCACCCTCAGGCACAGGGAATTGGGTACATGTGGTGACTTGGGCACATGCCTCTGCCTGGCAGTAAATTTGTTGTTTAATTCTGTCAAATGGGCTGTGAGTGCTTGGGCAGTGATCCTGCAGCTGCTCGGTGGGACAGGGCACAGACTCCCTTTGCCCTAGTGCAGTACAGAGGAGGCACACGGGGACACAGGTGGGATCACAACAAGCAGACACAGGCTGAAGCCAGGCAGTGTCCTGGCAGTGGCCATCACTGCCTGTCCACTGTGACTGTGCTGTGACAACCCACTGCATGAGTGCGTCCCATACCTTTTTGAGCCACCTTTTTGAGCTTACTTTTGCCTTAAACCCCATCTCTCATGTCCTCCATGAGTGCTGTGGCTCTCCAGCATGTTAATCCACTGCCTCATGTGTTGCTGCCTGTCCTGCCATGTTTGGGTCCTGCAGATGTCCTGGGAGACTCTCACACTTGTGGTGTTTTCAGAGCAGTGAGCTCTTGGCAGGCTTCTGTGTTACCTGGGCAGCTGGACCCACCTGGATCCTGAATAATAGCTCAGAAATGCAGAGGACATGCCAATGCCTGCAGCGTCCAAGGACAGACCCAGGGGCTGCTCTTCTGCTCCTGTGAAGGACTGACTGAGGGCTGTGCACAAAGGCTGGGAGCCTGCCCAAGCCCTTGCTGGTGCAGGTAAAATTAGTACCTGATTTTTTAACTCATATTTGCCAACCACCTTGGGAACAGCCCTGTTCTTTGGGCCCAGAGTGGCTGTTGCTGAGGCCTGCTGCTCACCCAGGTAGCTGGAGCTTCTGCTTTCTATGCTTTCTCCCAGCCTCACTGCATACCTGTGGTCTTTTTCTCCCCCTCAGTGATTTCAGCAGATCTCTTACAACTGTGCCCGTTTCCAGGCTGCGTTGTGCCAGCCTGAGCTGTGCCATGGGGGGTAAACCCACCCCCTTGCTGGGGATTGCCACAGAGCACCTTAGCTTGTTTCACAGCTGCACTGCACTGGGAGCTCAGAGAATCCTAAAATCCTCTTAGCATTTCTGCTTTCACAGGAGCAGTCCCTGGCACAGGTCTGCTGCACCTGATCCCCTTTAATTCAGGCCCTCAGCTGAATTAATGCCATCCTATTCCAAGGCGCCCAGGTCAGCAGCAGGCCATGCTCTTCACCATTTACCATTACTATTGGTGCTGGTTGTGTTTCCTTGCAGAGGGATGTTTTTGGGTTGGCCCAGTCCCAGTGAGCAGGGAGCTCCCCCAGACAGGCTGTGCTCAGTTGGAAGTCCCTGGTGATGATGTGCTGGAGATGCCGGCTTGGCTCTGTGCAGCCATGAGGTGCTGGGGTGGTACCTGGGCTGTGCATTGCAGTAAATCAGCATGCAGGGCTTGCCACTGTCCACAAAGACACTTTCACCAAGGGGGTTTGCTATGTGGGTGGAGGAGTCAGAGACCAGGCAGCAGCTGCCAGTGTCCCGACAGAGTCCTTGTCCTTTCCTGGGTGCAGCTATTTGTGATGCGAGGGCTGTACCTACTCTTGGTGTGATGCCCTGCAGGCACTTCCCTGCCTTCTGGGATTTCCCTTCCCCATGGAGAGCAGTTCAAAACACATGCCAGCAGGCAGAAAGCTCATGCCAGACTGCCAGCTACCTGTCTGCAGGGTGTTTGCTGTAAGGGATGGAGAGATAACTTCTTACTGGTGTGGGCACATGCCTCTTGGTGCTTCCTTTACTCAGGGCAAAAGTACCTGCAGGGCACTGCAGCCAACATCATTACTATTTTTAGCCTTTCCAGCTGATAGGGGTGAGGAGCTTTTGTACTTGCTGTAGTCAGAAAAAGTCACCTCCTTAGCTTGACAGTCACAGGCTTTGTCTTGACATTTCCATCCCTGTGTTCTCTGATGTCTCCTTGTTCAGCATAGAGTGTGCGGGGTGGACGCCTGCTGGGAAGATAACCCCTCTGGGACTGGTGCTTGCAGGCTGTGTGGTGGTCAGGTATGGGAGCTCCTGGGGATTCCAGTCCTCTCCACAGGCAACATCTCTGCCCACAAGTGCACCAGTCCACCTGCCCAAATGCAGGGAGCTTGCAGTGATGAGGGAAGCCCGTAGGCAACCACTGATCCTGTGGCCAATGCTGGTAGAAACCAAGAGCCTGAAGTCCCTATTTGTGTGTGGGCCAGGTTTGGGACAGCCAAAAACGCAGTGCCTGGGACTCCTGAGGCAGTGGTGGCTGTCACCTGCCATGTTGCCTGGCTGTCACAGGGCCAAGGTGGGCTCCCTGCCAGATACGGGCTGCACTCATGTACTTGACTGGGGGGCCCAGTGCCAAGCATTGCCACTCGATTGTCTCTGATTCTTTCCCCTTCTCTCCTTGCAGCGCTCTGCCTGGTGCTGGGCTGCATGATCTTTCCTGATGGCTGGGATGCAGAGACCATACGGGACATGTGCGGGGAGAAGACAGGGAAATACTCCCTGGGCGACTGCTCCGTACGCTGGGCTTATATCCTGGCCATCATCGGCATCCTCAACGCCCTTATCCTTTCCTTCCTGGCCTTTGTTCTTGGCAACCGGCAGAATGACCTACTGCACGAGGAGCTCAAGACAGAGAGCAAAGGTGAGCACCATGCTACAGGGGGAATCCTGGGTGGGAACAGCCTGCGGGGCTTGGCCCCTTTGGCAGCCTGGCAAAGGTCCCATGGACTTAACTGCCACCTACAAGCAAACCAGGCTGGGCAGGGTGGGAAGGAGCTGCTGAGCCTCTGCGCTGCCTGACCTCTCTCTCTTCTGTTTCCACAGACTTTGTTGGCACTGCGGTAAGCCTTGAATGTCACTGTCCTGTCCCCTGTCCCTTTGTGGTGTCTCTGGGTGTGACTGTGCTGGGTGTCTGTGGGGATGGGATGGGATTGGGATGGGATTGGGATGGGATTGGGATGGGATGACCCTGGTTGTGCAGGCAGCAGGGTTGGAGGCAATGGGGCAGGGAGGCAGCAGAGACAGGGTGGCAGTGATGGGGACAGGCATATGCCTGGCACATGCAAGTAACACGATTGTGCAGTAAGACCTGCCCAAGACCATCCCCAAACTGCTGTGCTTTCCCCACAGAGGATATAAGGCTGACCATCCGCAGCAGGACCCTCTTCCCATGGCCAGCAGCCTGGGCGCTCCCTCCCTGTCCTGCCCTTCATTTGCTGCCAGCGGCCACACAGCGTCCCGCGCCGCCCTCCGGGCCCCGGCGCCCGTGCCAGGGATGCGTCAGCCGCCCGCCGCATCCACGGCCACCTCCATGTCCACGCCGGCACCACCATCCCACGCACCCTGCCAGCTCCGTACCCACCGCTGCCTGCGGGCCGCCGCTGGGGGAGGATGCCTCAAACCCGCTTTGTCCAAGAACAGAATCCAGCTGCGGTTTTGTTTCAAGGAAGAAACAGTCTTGGAGTTTTTAACAGATTTCTACATCCCCAGGACTCCTGACCTGCTGCCTCCCACCCGAACGCGCACCCAGTGACGCCCCGTGCCGGCTGCTCCGGGTCCCGGACCCCTCCCCACTCCCATTTTGTACAGCTCCGTGAACCTGTCTCCACAGCCAGGGGACCCGGTGGCCGGGATGGGGCCCAACCCCTACTTTTACATGTAAATTCATATTCTCTAAACAGGGTAAAGTGACTCGAGCCCCCTCTCCCCCCGCCCTGGGAGTCCAGCCCAGGACATGGTGGTTCCTGGTGCGTGGCCAGGGCCGCAGGCTGCTGTTCGCTCCCCTCAGCACGGGGACCGCAGGGGCCTCGCTGCTGCCGGCCGTGGGACACCCGACTCGCGCCGCCGTTGAATGTAAGCCCTGGTAAGTGGGAGCAGCTGAACATGCAAAACCCCCGGGCGGGCACAGGACGACTCCCCCCGCCAAGACCTCTCCCCGAGCCGGCCGCGGGCTGTTGCCAAACGCCTTCCCTCCCCATCCCCATACGGTGCTTTATCTCCACTGGTGACAGCAAGGCTTTCCCTGCCACACGGCATGCCCGGGTGTACCCGAGCACTCCTGTACCCACCTGGCCTCCTGGCTGTAGCTCGCTGGCCCGCGGTGATGGCGTATGGGGAGCCGGTGGCCGCTGCCCGGCGCAGCGCTGAGTCCAGCGGCCTCCAAGGCCCACACACAGCACCTGAGAGCCGACACTCCGGCACAGGTGGCTGCAACCTGGCTGTGGCTCTGCCGGCCAGACCAGCCTGTGTGTGTGGGCCTCCCCTGGCCACAGGGGTTTGGGTCACCATAGCCCTCGCAATGCAATAAAGTCCTCAGCACTGGCTGTGTCTCAGTGCGAGCAGCTGGCAGGGCCCAGGGCAGGGCCTCCAGAGGCTTGTGGGGGCCCTGGCAGGGCTGGCCCCAGGCACTGGGCAAGGCCAGGGAGCAGGGTGAGTGGGAGCAGGGAGCAGAGTGGGACCACGGTGCTGGGATGGGGCCATGGAGCATGGAGGCTGCTGGGGGATGGCAGTGAATGGCTCTGCAGGACTCAGCACCTCACCAGGCACGAGGGGCTGGCTAGAACAGGTAAGTGGTGCCCTGAGGCTCTGCGGGGTGGCGGTGGGGGTGGAGCTGTGCTGAAACACCATCTGGGAGCCAAAGCCACCCGGGATGGAGTGGGTGCCAGCACTCCTGCCAGTGCCCCCTGCCAGCCCTGAGCCCAGCGGTGCCCACATCCCTCTGACAGCTGCCCCCCAGAATGAGGTCAACAGGAACCCGCAGCACCCGGGTCTTGCCAGCTTGCGAGTGCTGTTGCCAGCTGAATTGGAAAAACAAACCAAGAAAATCAGTGGAGAAAGGAATACAGTAGCTGTAATATATCTGTATTTTAGTACAAAGTTTGATACAGTGTTTCACAAAACCTTATTGAAAAATATAATTCAAACCAGACCAGCTCGGAGCCCTGTGTTGTGGGGAGGGTTGGGATGGGTTCTTCCTGGCCATCACCAAAGGAGGTGATCTGCAAGAAGGCCAAAGAAGCCCCTGTGAGTTTCTTGAACTGTGGTGGGGAGCCCACCCTGCAGCCTGTGGAGCTGAGCCTCCATCCACATGGGCTGGCACACAAAGAGGGTCTCTGGAAAGGGTCTGTCCTACTACACGGCAAAGCAGGGGGTGGGGCAGGGATCCTATCTATCCCTAGGAGCCTTTGAACCTGTCCCTTCTGCCTGTCCGCGCTGCACAAGTGGTCTGTCAGCTCACTAACAACAGACTGACAGGAACCTCCTGAAATTCATCAAATTCCAGTGTCTTGATGGAAAAAAACTACATGGCTGGTCAGTCTAGTGGCATGCTCTAGCAGGGGAGTGGGGAGAGCATTCCAGTCTCTGAGGGCAGCATGGGGAGCTCTGGGACTTGCAGAGAGCTTTGGCCAGGTCTGCTCCCCTGGTGTGGGGCACGCTCACAGCCCAGGTGAGCCCTGCAGATGGCAGAAGAGGCTGAGAAGAGCCGGGTTGCTGCTACCCACAGTTGCTTTCAGGGAAGGAGCAGTGGAGCAGGAGGAGCAGTGGAGATGGAGCCACTCTTTGTGGGGATGCAAAGGGACAGAATGAACCATGACAGATACTGTCCCACAGTGTCAGGGGTTCTCACAGTGAGGGCGGTTGAAGACCAGAAGCCATGGGAACCTCAAACCAGCACTTGCAGACGCACCTGGCATCCCCACGCCAGGCTCAGCCCATGTCAGGCTTCCTAAGGAAAAGGCAAGCAGTATGAAAACCCTAGATACCAGGTTCTGGCACACCAGAAAACAGGTTTTAAAGCAGGTTCAGTGGTGCACGGGACATCCTCCACATCCATCTCCTCCCCAGATGAACTTGAGCAAGAAGAACAGCAGCAGCAGAGTGAAAAATTTCACAACCCCAGCCAGAAGCTCAGGGAATTTCCTCAGGAACACAAGCTCCCACAGCAGCTCCTAGCTTCACCTGGCAAAAGGCAGATCTGCAAGGCTGCTCCTGCAAGGATTTGTCCCTCACCCCCTCATGTCCTGGGCACCAGCGCTCGAGGTGGTAAGAAATTCTACAATACTAGTTTTCAAGTTAAGTATTTTTATTATCAAAATTATTACATCTCTTGTGAAAGTTCAAATGTTACAGCATGGTGTAAAAACTCCACTAGAGTAAGAAGCTACAGCCCCCACCTTTCCTAGAGCTTTCCAGGGTCCCTCCCTCCTGCCCCCCCGTTGTGCCCAAAGGTGCTGGAACCTCTGGGCAGGGCCCCCCGGCCCCCTCCCGCCACCTGGCAGGGCAGAGCCCGCCTGCCCCGTGCTGCTCAGAGCACGAAAGGGGAGGCTGCACCTCCAGGGCTAAGCCAAGTGAAGTTTACACCTATTTTATACAGTATACAGACACCCAACTGCGGGGTGACAAGTTCCATCCCAACACGCTCACAGCCAGACAGTGTGAGAAAGTTACTCTTTGTTTCAATATTTTAAAAGTCTCCCCTAGGCTGAACAAACACCTGATTTCAATTGTGAATTAGAGAAATCTGTAACAGTCCCAAAAAAAGAGGAAGAAGACTGTGCATCTGCAAGGAGAGGGGAGACAGACTCACAGCATTATGTTATCCAAGAGAAAGGAGAAGTTCCACTGCAGCACCAGGGATGACACCTGTCATATATTAGCTAACCTACTATGGTTATAACTGAATATAAAATTAGATAAATAAAAACACGCCCGATATTACAGTAAACAAGTGAGAAAGAAGCTGGCAATCGTATGGAATTGAACACACAGCGCACTGTGTCTGGGCTGGCGCTCCTGCCATGCTCGGCGGGTGACAGTGGCTGAGAAAGACCCCACATGGCACTGCCTGGAGAGCCTCTGGCTCGGCACAGACTAGGTGCCCACCCACCACTGCCCCTTGCAGCCCTCCTGCTCCTCTGCCTGCAGCCCCCCGTGTGCCGCAGCATCACTTGACCGATCAGGCCCCGGCCATCCCCTGTGTGTTGCGCACCAGCAGCCAGAGAGCCCCCGACACGGCAGCACGTGGCAGCACGGCCCCAGCCGTGCTCCTGTTCACAGATTCCTTAAGCGACCTTAGAAACACTTTTCACAACAGACCTGCAATGAAGCAGCACACGGCAGCGCACCCTGGATCCTCTGCAGCCACAGGCACACGCTCCAAACCCCTCCCGTGCTGTTTGCATTCATGGAGACTCTGTTCTGGAAAAAGCTCCAACGGTGGCAGTGGTGACCCAGGCCCAAAGGCAGCCGTGTGTGCTTGTCTGCTTGTGACTGGAATGATCGTAACGGATTAAAGCCCTCCCCAGAGCGCACTGAGAACCTGACCTATAAAGAGATTGGAGTTAACTTCCCCCAACATTTCCTTTAAACTGCTTTTGAATTCATAACTGTGTCCGTGCTGCATGTGTGACTGTGGCCATGGGCACGGACTAGAGACAGAGGCTGTGCCACAGTCATTGCACTTGAACCATTTGCGTTTTTTTCCTCCTTTTTTTTTCTTTTTTTCTTTTTTTTTGTTGTTTGTTTTTTTTTGTTTTTTGTTTTTTTTTGTTTTTTGTTTTTTTTTGTTTTTTGTTTTTTTTTGTTTTTTGTTTTTTTTTGTTTTTTGTTTTTTTTTGTTTTTTGTTTTTTTTTGTTTTTTGTTTTTTTTTGTTTTTTGTTTTTTTTTGTTTTTTGTTTTTTTTTGTTTTTTGTTTTTTTTTGTTTTTTGTTTTTTTTTGTTTTTTGTTTTTTTTTGTTTTTTTTTTTTTTGTTGTTTGTTTATTTTTGTTTTTGCAATGTACCCACATGTCAGGGAACTGCTTTGCTACAGTCTCTGCCTCAGAGAAATCTGTGTTCTCCTACCAGGCCAGAGGCCAATACTGCTCACAAATCTCACCCGTGCATTTTTGACCTCAGCCTCTGACACCCCTGGCACCCCAGCATCAGGTGCAAGCTCCAAATACCGGCCCAGGAGCCACTTCCAGAGGTGACTGGAAGAAGCTATGGGCAGTTTTGTCCTCCTGAAGTCCAGGCAGCCCTAGGAAAGTCCTGTTTGAGTCTTTACTCCAGAACCTTGAAGCTGTTGCAGTCTGTACTGATGGACACTGCTTCCCCCACGGTGTGGATAGTGTTGTGCACTAGAAATCACTGCGCCCCGGGAGCCCTGGTAGAGAACAGACTGCCCAGAGTTCGGCAGGCTGATAGTCCGCAAGTCTGACT